CTAGTGTTGCCGCAGTTTGAGTTTATCTCCGGCTTTAGCCGTGACCGGAGCCGTAGTTAGCCAAGCCATGTATCTAGTTATATATTACATAATACACGGCCCGGTCCAGTCATTAAGCCATGTTTCCAGGCTTCAAGCCAGCTCAAACTAAGTTTAAATTTAGAATAAATATAAAATTTAAAATTTAAATAGATACAAATGGTAGAGAGCGGCCGGGGATTTTACGAGTACAACTAATGATAATTCTTCTTTTCAAGATACTGAACGTCCACCATATGCTCAAGTAACACCGAAGGGCGATACCCTTGTAGAGCATCTGCAAGATTGAGACTATCTCCAGATGAGCGACACATATAGTAACAAATATGATGGTCACTTACAAATCAGCTATGGTGTCATTGGTAGATCGTACACCACCAGAAAGAAAGAAACACATCGGAGCAGCAGTTTCTTCGATGGCTAAGCCGAGGCCTGCTTCTCCCAGGATGCAATCACAGCGCTCAGAGCCCAATCATTCTCAGTGTCGTTCACCAAGCCGGTCTCCCAAGCGACCCTTTCCTCAAACACCCCTTCGTCTGGCAATGCCCCCGTATCTTCCTCTCGCGCGAGGCCGCAGTCTATGTTTGCCTTTCCAGTGGCAAAGTCTACTTCGGATGGAAAATGGACGCACCGTCAACTCCTACGGGTCTAGGGAAGCCACGACCATCCTGCGATTGATTTAGCCAGGGCGGCCCTTGTCAATCAGGACCAGAGCAAGGCAGACACATACCTGGATCATCAGTAGGACGAGCCGTTCCCCTAGACGGTCTTCCAGCATCGCTATCTTTTTCCCCTCCAAAGCCTGCCACATGTCTAAAAGAGCTGCGCTCGCCGTCACCTTTTCAATGAGTGGGCAAGCTCATCGACCAATGGCAGCGTAAAACGGAGGTTGATTCACGGGAGCGAAAGAGGAGATGTGGCGCGACTTTGAGCTTGGTCCGGGGTCATGACCGGCAGTGAAGCAAAGGCGGAGAGGGCATGTCGGAGCTACGAGGGGGTCGTTACTGTCATCGGCCTCGAGGGTTAGAAGGATGGTGGAGAATGAGACACTTCAGTCGTTGGGACGTAGAAGTTAGAACCTCTCGAATCTCAATAGGATAAAAATTTAGGGACATTGGCGTGGAGGGCGGAAACAAACTTACGAAGGCTATGCTGGTGCCCATCTGGCCTGCGCCGAGGACGCCTAGTCGTTTGACTCTGTGGGCGATAAACGTTGTGGTTGAGTTGAGAGTAGGACCCGAAATAATGTGTAAGACTTAATTAGAAATACATGTATTAATAAATTCTTAGGGTGAACCCGAAAAAGAAACATTGTGCGCTGTGCGCAATCGATCAATATTGATCAATCAATAGATTTGATTCTACAGCGACAACACTACGTACTACATAGCACTACGTCCAAACTACGTCTGAAATAATCTCGCATATCAAAACACACGATCACGATTCACAATGGGCCCCCAAGCCTGATGTGAGTGCCAGCTGACTTCTCCGTTGTTCAGAAAGCTAAGTTGATATTAGCAATATTGCAGTCTCACTCGTGCCCGCAAGATGCTGGCAAGACAGGCGGAGATGGAGAAGATGATGGTAGAACTGGGCGGCAAGGGCAGCAAGGGAAGAAAGGGCTTCACAGAACGCCGGATTAGCGGAGGTGGCCCAGGTGGGGGCGGCAGCAAACGTCCGAGGACGACTAGTGGCGAAGTGGCGCGCAGTTTTGAGGAGATTGGGTTGGGGGCGGGAGGATTAGGTGGGGCGGCAGCAAACGTCCGAGGACGACTAGTGCGCGCAGTTTTGAGGAGATTGGGTTGGGGGCGGGAGGATTAAGTGGGGCAGGTTGGGTTGGAAGCGAAAGTCGTCGGGGATCGTAGAGAATCGATATCACATTGTATGCTGTACGTTGAGAAGGAGTCTGAGCTGTCACAACCTCTTGCTATTATATAGAATTTTTAAAAAACTCGCCCTGTTCGTACCTAGATGTTTGTACCTAGAATTAATTGGATCAGCGGCGACTTTCTTCAGGGAAGCCTCCAGGACATACCTACAATCAACACTGTACGTTCATACCTAAAGTTAATGGGTTCTGCGGCGACTTTCTTCAGGGAAGCCTCCAGGACATACCTACAATCGACAATGGACATTCATACCTATAGATCAGCGGTGATTTGATGCACTGAAGGCGTTCGTGGTGCGGGATTCGTAGATGGTGAGAGACGGAGTGCACGCAGGTTCTCCGACATCAGAAAACATCGCTTTGTGTGCGTCAAAATGCCGTCGATGGCGGGGAGCGCTGGGGAAATTGTGACAGAGAGCGGAGGAAAAAGAGTGAACCTGTGGGAGATGGCGCTCTCGCACACTGATCAGCATGACTCCCACTGAACATACCTTGAGGATGCAATTATCTGACCAGGAGACTGTCAGATGCGTTTGAGCCAACAAATGAAATTAGATATACAAACACGAAGAAACATAGAGTGAATGATGGTAAGCAAAGAGTAAGAAATGAGCGGGAAAAGATATGTGGAAATCGAGGAGATGTCAGTTATCATAAATGGTGACCTCGTCATCAACGTCATCGCACTCATGCTCTGCAATGGCTTTGAGAACAGCGTCGTATGCACGACCGTCACCTGTCGTTTCACTAGATACAGGCGCCAAAATCTCGTCAGAACCATTGTCAGATACCATCGCACCTTCCATGTCCCATTGCGACGCCGCCCAACCTTTGGTAAAGTTCAGTCGCTCCTTTTTGACGGAGAACTTTACCATCTGTAGCGCCTCCATGAGGACTGGGGAGATGCGATTGCTGCTTCTTGGTGTACGTTTCGCTGCTTGACGAGAACACCCGCTCACAGGGAACAGCAGACGCCTGGATTGGGAGGTAGTCCATAGCGATGGTGTAAACTGTCGGGAACATTGCCTCAGACATCTAGTTGAGATGTTCGTGGTCAACGACGAAAGATGTGGCTTGACGGAGAATAAGATTCTCACCTGCCAGAAGGAGAGTATATTCGTTCCCTGAGGACTAAGATTGGCTGTGGTGTAAGCCCCAAACTCCTGTTCGACCGTCTGGACAACATCGTGGCTATGCGGCAGTACATCCCTCTCAGGAAGTCCGTAGATACGTGAGCCTAGCGTGCGTGCTTGTAGTCTTGAGACTGGGTGGGTTGGAACCGGTACGTCTGGGAGCTTTTGTGCTCGCTTGGCATGCATCTGCAGGACATATGAGCGCAAGTCATTGTTAGTTAAGTAGACGTACTAGATTGAGAATGAACGCTTGAGCCGAATCAAGTCGATCCCTGTCCCAGTGATCTGCAGCCCACGACATTCGGCATGTAGGATCAACAACTATAAAACAATCATCAGAAATTAACCTTTGTGAAAATGCGAGGGACTGACACATCGCAACTGCGTATGCATTCGTGCAGGCCATCCGGTCGTCATACTTCTCCGCCCAAGCCAAACCAATGTTGATAAGTGGTGCACAGTGCGGGGCGCCACTAGCCAACTGCTTCCAATCATCGAGTAACCTTTCAAACGTTGGAACCGCACTACCCAACATGGGAGTGCTCTCGCTCGACATAGATTGCTGAGCTCTGTGCAGGGGCTGACATTACACAGTTAATTGCGACTTACATTTCGAAGACATTAATACTAACCTCCAGAATTACTTCGAAGTCCTGAAGGAAATGCCATTCCATTGGACTCAGCTTTTTCTCGTGTATGGAGCAGTTGATTGGCGGACTCAAAGAATAAATCAACCGCCTGGGCAATCATTAGTCTATGACTAATGTCAAGTGAGATAAGGCCTTACCTGACGTAGAGTTCGTAGACGGTTAAGCATGGCGTAAACTGAATCCCACCGTGTTGGTTCGTCGAGCAGGAGTTCGACTGTAGGGAGCTTTATCGGCTCACCATTGTCTCCTTGAAACCATGCCTTCTCGTTACCTATCACAATAGTGTCCCGTAAAATCCCGCGTCGTTGGTCTGATGCACAAATGGAGCGCACAACTGTTTCTGGCCCGCTCGAGAGCTTTACCGGTGACAGCGCCAATATATTCCTTCTTGTCGATAGGTGTGCCGCAAACATTCCATTGGTCCCCCACGCAGGAAAAGTCCGCCGTGGCGTAGTCGTCGACAATATGCTTCACGCATATGTTGATCACGTGCGGAAAACAGGGAATTCTGTTTTCAACCGGATCGTAATCAATCTGACGTGCCTCGAGTAAACGAGAGAGCTCCTTCATAGAAGTCTGATTATTTGCAGTGTTATCCAAAGTAAAATGCCCAGGCTAAACAAAGTCAGAGCGCGTCACACAGTAAAGCTAAACACTGACATCCTTTGAGACATCAGCGCGATCGAGGAGATGCAATAATACTGAACCAAGCGATTTGCCAGTGTGGCTTCCGGGAACGTGATGAAAGGCGATCAAAGCCGCCTTCAACACAAGCACTGAGGTCTTCTCTTCCTTGGCGATCCAATGGGCGGTGAGTGCCATGAATGGGCGGAGTTTCTTATCCGACCAGAGGTCAGACGTAAAGGATACTTTTCCTTGCGCCCTCTGTAAGAATACATAAGGCATTTGACGGGACTCTCGACAACTAGACACTTACCGCAAGATCACTTTTCAACACCTGGAAATATTCGTGCCATGCGACAATGACCAGTTCACGAAGTTTCGTGCGGTGGGGAATGTCTGACTCGTTCACATCCCTCCGCAGAAGACATATCAGGCGCCGGAACTCTACACACTCAATTATATTTATTGCCTGCAGATGATCAATTAACAAGGGCACATCAAAAGTAAATCCCACTCACTTGGTCGTCTGCCACTATGAACTTCACTAGTTGCCGGTGCATCTCGTCAATACTAAAATCCGGTATGCAATCATCCAGAGATACCCCGGTTCCTGGCAGCGAATTGTTGGATCCATTATTAGCCATGGTACCGAGCGAGTCGATATGATAAGCGGGGTCTTTAAGTCTTTCACGGATGGCCGCCAAAGTCCACCCTTCATTAAGGCGCAACTTCAGCGACTTTACAAGAATCGGCCAGCGCAGGCGCTCTGCCTCTTGTAGGTAAAGGTCGGTATGGCCGAAGAAAGCATGGTTACGATGGGCAGAAGTGCCGGTTGTGTGCTTGTATGAGATAATTCGGTGTGAATCGTCCACCTTCTGCAAGCCCCTGGACAAGGATGAGAAAAAGAACGGAAGAACGGCAGATATGTATATGTACTCACTCGCATACGTGGCAAATCTTGCGATTAGTGTCTGGATCCAACCTATAGAAGTAACGGATATCAGCCGTGCTTTTGGGCTGCGTTCCTTGGATACCCGTGGCTAAGGGATTGGTTTGGGTGGAGTAAACCGTACTAGTAGCCGTTTGCAGTGGGCCGAGGACGGGAGGAGCCCTGACTCCTGGTGCAGGCAAGTCATCATCTTCATCCCCAGAGACATCGCCGATCTCAATATATTCTCCGTCATCTGCCGTATGATTGGTGCCAGTCTGAGCTGGGTTGTCGTCGCGGAACCTCATAGGCATTTGTTGTTGTCTATGGGGGTGTTGAAGCGTAGTTGCATTCAACGCAACAGCAGCAGCGATGGGGGCAGCGGCAGCGGGGACGAGAAGAGGTACATCAGCAGGAATAGGCGTGGTGGCAACCTGAGACTTCTGCCCTCGTCGACGAGGAGCCATGTTCGAGTGATTGTAATGGTAAAGATTCAAAGACAGAGTCTTTATAAACCTTCGTCCTGGGGAAACAATGGGGAAACCCCAGTCCTGAGTCGACTAATGATAAGTCCAGTGCATCGCACAAGCGAAGTAACGGGTCTAAACACAACATCATTAATAGTGATACGACGCAAGGGGAACAATTGAACATGCACTCAGGGTACATACCGTGATATCTTCACTTCAGTGGTCCTAGCGAACACAACATGTGAGTGGGGTTTCCCTGGTGCCCGCCACCCATAGAGCTCACCTGACGAGAGGGGTACCATAAACTTCATGGGCGTTCTGATAAACACTAAATCTCGCAATCAGTTGGGTATATCACCCGCCACCCATAGAGCTCACCTGACGAGAGGGGTACCATAAACTTCATGGGCGTTCTGATAAACACTAAATCTCGCAATCAGTTGGGTATATCACCCGCCACCCATAGAGCTCACCTGACGAGAGGGGTACCATAAACTTCATGGGCGTTCTGATAAACACTAATCTCGCAATCAGTTGGGTATATCACCTGAAGTAAACCTTACCTGCATCCTCGGAGTCAATTGACTGATCAATTGAGTTCAGAAACCAGATCGCATACAGCAACACCATCCAGCAAAAGGGACATGGCGTGTTTGCGAAGGGTTCCCCATGCGCCATACAGTAGGGCGTACGATCAGTAGTTTTTAAAAACACCATAAAGCTTACCTTTATTCCCGGGGTCGATGACCTGATCATTTGAGTATTAAACCTAGATAACGATACAGCGAAAGGGAAGCAGGTCATGTGTTAAAAATCCCCCATGCGTCATCTAGTAGGCTGGGCTGGTGATTGTGCTGATTGCATTCGATTAGGTGAGTCTGGTAGATGTCGGGACTCAGGCTTCAGGGATAAGTATCCAGGATAAGCTCGCTCCTGTCGCAGGCCAACCGATCTGCAGAAAAATGACACTGGTAAGTTGCAAGGAGGATGAGCAAGGAGACAGGCAAGTGTGAAAAAGATAGAAGCTCACTTAGAGCTGCGTGGGAGCCACGATGCGATTGATTGATGATTAATTGACATGTATTTGGCCACGTCTGACCAGAAACGTTGTAGGCTAGTAGCCTATAGGCTCGTACACCGTATCGTATCATATATACATATTATGTACAGATAAGAGATACACAATCAACAGCGTGATCTGGCAACGACTGTTTTTTTCCGGCGTGGAGCTGAAGTAGTTGGGTGCATCGGAGAGCTATTACGTGGGTGTAAACTTGGAAATCACTTGAGCTTCAGATCGCAAGGGGAAAAATGAAATAGATTACTCACACACGAGTCGATCTGCGAAGCGGTGTTGCATCCGGCGGACATGGGGGCACTGCCTCAGCCATCCAGTATTCATCGGAGATTGGAGGGGGATGTATCATGTGATCATTGTGATGATCAGGTTGGCTGAAATCCAGCGAGCCCATAGCTGGTGGGGACAATGTGGCTTGAAGACCGTGAAGCAACGAACGAAGATGCCCATAGTCAGGGTCCTCTGAGAATGCAAGAGAGCGCGTGTAGATGAGAATACTTGCGAACTCGACAGGAATGCCATCGCATAAGTCTTCAATAGTGGTGTTGACCTTGCGCTCGAGAATAGAAGAGCTGGAGAGCTTCTCGTCACTAGTCAACCATGGAAGGGAGCCGCGCAACAAATAAATCAACATGTATGTAAGCGACTCGAGATCGTCACGACGACCTGGGTCAACTCCTAAGTGGTTGTTGATCGAAGCGAACGCAGGAGTGCCAGTGAGACGTTGATTCTGACGAAATGGGATGTGGACTCTGGTTGTGGTGTTCCAGTATTCCTTCGCAATACCGAAATCGATAATGAATGCAGTGTGCCTCAAGTGGCCAAGACCCACCAAGACATTCTGCGGTTTGATATCACCGTGAACGTAATTGTGTGAGTGGATGTACTCAAGACGTGAGAGCTGGGAAACAGGTTAGCCTACTTGCAACAACCCAGCACAAATCAACTGACCAGCTGGTCCCCCAAATTCACGACAGCGTGAAGGCTGAATTTTTGATTGTGTGTGAGGAAAATATTGTGAAGTGAGGGCCCAAGGAGGTCAAGGACCAAAGTGTGATATGTTGATTCTCTACCAAACCAGAGGGCGCGGGGTATCCCAACTCCACCCTCGAGTCGTTTCAAAATGGTGTATTCGCGCTGTACAGAAGACGAGTGGCTGGCGATGGGTTCGAGTTTTATTGCAACTGCGTCATCTTTGATGATGTTTCGTGCGTGGTATACAACAGCTAAGCAGACCCAGGGTTCATGTTGAGTTTTGCAGTTGTAAATGTAATCAGGTTGTGAACGACGTACCGTATGAACCAGATCCTACAACTTCTCCGAGTCTGAATCTACCGTCGACTCGTATCGGGACCTTATGATTCATGGTACGTGATAACTTGAGCCTTGAGGAGTACAAAAATCCAACAGGGAATCCAACCGGGAACAAGACTTAAAAATAAGATGTGATTCCATCAGCTTGAGCCGCCTTAAGCTGGCCTCAAGCCAGCTCGAGCCGCTGTTCATGAATTTTGGCTTACAGTTGGTTCGTGGCACTCTGTGCAGCTAATGAACCGAACCAAACTATACATAAGTGGCCTAGCTCACTAGGATAACCCAAACACTGGCAAACCGGTGAACGCCAAGCCGGAGCGCGCCGTAGCCGAACTGCGGTTATACTATCCATGATATAACGAGGATGTGTTGTGTCCCTCTCTTCGACAACAGTGGATTTGGCTTTTTTCCTCGTCGGTGCCGCATCAAGGACATCTTCATCCATTTGGACGAGAAAATTTGCCAGCTCGACAGAAAAGGTAGAATCATTGATAATTGTATTTGGGACTGCGATAGCAGGTCCAGGATATGAACAGATCAGCTTTCCCTTTGCGCCCATCACTGCGGTGGGGTCAGGAGACATCTCGAATGATTCGAATATAGTCTCGGCTTCGAGTTTTCTCATGATCACCGCAGCGTTTTGTGCGCGAATCATGTATACAAGGACATCTAAAAATTGATAATCAGCACGGGAAAATGCAAATGAGATGAAGGTATCAGACCTTTGTTGCCCATAGCATCGATTTGAGATTTGACTTCCGTTGCAGACATCACGCTGAACCTGATTGAATCTTGGAGATTGCGAAGCATTGTCAAGCTGCTCGTCCAAAGCGGCAACTTATGGGACGGCAGCTGGTCACTGAAGGCGAGAGCAGCATCAAATACTGCCTGAGATAACGCCAGTTCATTCTCAAGGAAATGATCACTCCTTTGCGGCAACTTGAGGGGAAGAAACACATGATTAACGATATATTCCAGACTGGATTGATCTGTTGGAAGACGTTTTACTGCCAAATATTGAGCCATGTGATGTGATGGGGATCAATGAGATGAGAAAAGAGTTGGCCACTGACACTCTAGCCTACTCCAGCTGATAAGGAAAACTCCTGGGCGCTGATCCTCACGCCTCATGCCTCAGGGTTGGATCCGCATAAAGCGAGATTCAGAACCTTTGTATACGAGATATCATAGAAGTTTCACTGAGGAGTGCCATGCATTGAGGCTGTACATGTGCATGTGCCAGAAATTTGATCGCGCATGCTTGAAAAATCAATGCAGGGACGGCAGTTGTCGTCTTCCTTCTAGTATTCGGTCCCTAAGGCTGGAGACTCTTGAGCTTGAATGTCGCGGGAGCTGAGTCGGTGTTGAGTCGGAGTGTCAAAATCAGGTCATTCGCGCCGAACCTCAGATGTCTACATTGACCTGAAGGAGGTCATGACTTGTAACCATCCTCCAGGTTAACACGTTTCTCACGAGAAGTGTACCGTCTTACCAATCACGAACGAAGGAGATCAAGTATAGCCCACATAGTGCAAAGGGCCAAGCGTGCCAAAGCCCACTATGTCCTAAAACATTCTGAATCTACATGTGCAAATAGACTGTAGATTATCACCGCCAAGAACCACATCATATCGCACTGGTCCCAAGGAAGCTTCGAGCGCCAGAGCAGACAGCAAAAGACCGCGGAAGTTGTATGTAGCTGTGCAGAAAAAGAATTGTGATGGCTGCGCGCCAGAAACAGACAAGTGCGGCTGCGAAAGCTTGTCCTCATGATATAATCTAAACATTGGCACCCATCCTTCCACGAAGACCGCAGAAGTCTTGACATTACGCATACAGGTGTGGACGTAGGGCAATTTATTCCATGTCCTGCAATTTTCGGCTCAGAGTGGCAGAAGTCAGTCAAGCTGGGAGCGCCCCACAAATGAATACGATGACCACCGAAGAATAAGCCGCAGACATGCACTTACTGCACGAATATAGAGTGAAAGGGCCGATGGGGCATGAGGTACTTACTACTTTGCGAAGGAACAGGTTGATGGGGTTTGTGTTTTCTTGAGGCTTTCGCATTTGCTTGGCGTCGCGCTGCATGTGATGAATGCAGTGAATAATGGATTCTAGATATTTTGACGACTTGGCTTTGGAGATATATACCGTCATGAAACACTGAATCGTGAAGGACAGACATCAGGAAGTATCGCTAGGGATGGTCATAAACGTACCATCCATTAATCCTCCAAAACAGAAAACATCATTCAAACAAAAACCCAGTGAGGCGTTGCCACCCGGACTCCGAAGCGCAGGAAATCCTCATCAGCATTCTCATCCGTAGGCACGTTCCCTTCCGAGTCAGGGACATCCGTCACCTTACCAAGCGGAATGACCGCTTCTGCCCATGCTGGGACATTCTCGGGGTGTTTTGGGCGCGCCCGTAACTCTTCAAAGTCATCTACGATGGGAGGTGCATCGCGAGGTAGTCCCGCCATAATGAGGCGGTTGTACGCCTTCTCCATGATGTAACATAGCCCAGCCATGATGGCGTATTGAAGTGCCTCATCTATGTCGGTGGCGGAGCCTGTCTTGGGTTTGTTATTAGGGTATGGATCGGGGAGGGCTGAGAGTGCCCAATCAGGTTGAGACCGCGTCCAAAAGTATTCGAGCTCGTTGCGGAATTGGACTGTCCAATCTATGACAAAGAATTGATAAAGGCGATAGAAAGATGCGGACGGTGTGTCGCTAGATGAAGGAGAAAGGAGTGGAAAAAGTCGGTGGAGGACAGGCCGAGGAATGAGGGAATGCCGCCATGACATGGGTCTTCGAAGTGGATACTTTCGAAGAACTGCGGTGCGATCTGCAAGGAGTTTTGAAGGGGTTGGAGGGATAGGTTCGCGCAAACTGATGAGAAATTTAATGTCGATTGAAGCACAGAAGTATATCGGTTGATGAGAGCTGGAATTAACCCACCTCTGCGCTTGTTCGTGTGACATGGATGAAGCTGAAACCGACCAAACTCGCGAGATTTGAGCGAGCTAGTCGTGTAAAAGCTTCTCAATTCAGAAAAGGTGAGGTGGAATGGGGGATTGACCACCATAAACTACTCACCAAGTCAAGGCGGTATCCAGTGAGAAGAGAAGAGACCGAGGTGTGCAAATTTCCCGGTTATTTAAACACACTTACTAGCTTACTGGCGCGTGGGCGGATAATAAAAAGACAGGACACCTTCAAGGGGGGAGGCTTTCTGCTCGCGATGAACAAGTTTAGATCTAGTGCACTTGCCTAGCTATGGCATACTCAGGTACGGTGGTTGAGTCAAGCTGATTTGAAAGCTAGGCGGTACTTGACGTCGCTTAGTAAGCCAGCGTTTGATCTTCAGCGCTTCTCGGAACCTATTCTCGTCCTGCCAGTGAGCACACGCAAGTATGTACTTGGTTTCCTTCTCTAACCGCTGATTTCTCGAGAGTCGGCACCCGTAGAAAAGAAGTCAGTATTTGTGTCGTGTACCAGAACGAGCGCGCATGTTCTCTCCGATCAACGCCGTATCGAACACTCTGGGCTCGCCAGATGCGTCGGCCCCAGATTTTCTGTATGATCGTAGATCTGCACAAATACTACTGGAACAGGGACTACTTCCTATTTAACTTTCGAAACCCGACGTAGGTTCGAGTTCGACGGTCACGGTCATACCTCTGGCGTACATCTGCACTCGTTCGACGATGTCACTAGGGCAAAAACCCATAGACTCGGAGTCCAGACGAAAGAATCTTAGAAGCTGGGGTGTCGTGACATTATGATGATGCTCTATGTCATCCTGGAGAGGCAATCCCCTGCTGCAAAGCACATAAAAGGCTGTCCTTGGCGGTCATCCTTGTCAAATGTCAACCAAGCAGTATTCATCGAAACCTAAAATTCAATTTTGCGCAAGCAGACACCGAGAATTGGTCGTGATACAGGTTGCTTGAGTACAAAGAACAATTGGCTACACTATAATAATTATCAATGAATTACACGTATTCTATGAGCTCAATCGGGGAGTCCGTTCGTCCAAAGAGAGATCAAAGTGGAGTACACTCTAAAAGTCCATACCGTCGTTTATTATCGCCTGCGATCCAACTCTCTATGGTGAAGTGCATCTTTGGGGAAACTACTGGCAAGTCCTCGTTCTTCGCATATGCGTCATGCACTTGCCTAAGGTTGCCAATCATGGGTTGTAGGCGAGCTACGAATCGATCGAAAGCATCTTTATCTACTTCCAAGTCCGCAGGAGGCAATCCGGATAGAAGTTTACACTTTGGAGCTGCTCAGAGCCTGGCAGGATATACGAAATGAGGCAAGAAACTCACCTCATCGTTACAGGCAGAAACCATGATATTGTTTTTTTCATCATCTTCCAATATGAAAAGCAGTTTGTAGAACCATTTGCAATGCGTTTCGAGCATGTCATCGCAGTCGATGCAACATTTCCAGGGCCGCCGTAAGCTACAGAACACATTAGCGCCGCGCAGGGAAAGAATTGGTTTGAGCTGACTCGGTCTCGCACTTAGTGCACCGCAGGTACGTCGCCTGATTCAGATCCAAGGGATAAAAATCGAACACTCGCGCAACGAATGTGAATGTATTTGGACAGACAGTGCTGGCGAAAACTTGCTTCAGAGTGAGGCCCTTCGATATCTCAGGGGTAGGGGGGAGCGATTTTGCAGTGGCATTGACCGCTGGTTCGATGCACACCCCGTCTCGTTGCATTTCTACCTTCCACTTCTCCTTACGTCTGTCAAGGGGTTGTCAGCGACCGACGACACGTCAACAGTCCAGCCAGAACGCACCGTAGAAGAGCTTTCACTTCCTCCTTCTCGAGGTCATTAACTGCAATGATCAGACGTTCGTCGCCCCCTAGACGCCCGAAGGCACCCTTGATACCTGCCCTCTTGATCAAGCGCAGATTCTTGATTCTATACATTGCGCCTAGCTGCAGATCGCGAGCCCTCCCTTTTTGCCCACCCTCCAGGGTGATTTTGACGACCCGGCGATCGAGGCCAAGGGCCCAGGGTGCTGGCTCCGCTGGGTTGATTAGGCTGGGATTGAACGTGTAATCTGTCACGTAAACAAGTGGTTCTTCTGCAGAGGCAAGATCCACATGGAGCACCTGTGGAACATGTTATGAGGTAGAACACGAAGTCTTTCCCGACCCACCTCAACCGTGCAGTGGAAGAACGTCACTTCTTCGTCAACATCTTCAATCAACTTGGTGTCAAACCGTGGAGAAGAGCCGGACGCCCCTCCCCCCTGCTCAAACTTCTTTTTCCGCCTGAAGAACGCGCGATTAGTCAGATTTTTTGTCAAGCCAATAGAACCACTTACTCTAGCAAGGCACGGAAATGCAGGTTCTTGCCATTTTCGACCTCGTCAAGCTTTTTGGTCTTATGTGTTTCTACCAATTTACCGTGAAAATGTAAATAGGAGTCTGTCATCGCGCGCGTGTTTGGGAGGGACCAGAACTCTCCGGGCTGCATTGTCCTTGCGAGAAGCCCCGCGTCATCCCACATGTCGATTTTAAAAACGTACGCAGACAATTCCGGCGAGCACCAATTTGCTTGTGGAGGGTTGGTGTGAGGGTTTACGGTGTAGTCGGTCACGTAGACGGTGTTAGGTCCACTGGTGTTTTCATAGCTGTGCAAAATCTAAGCCTTCATCAGCTTCATATTTATGATGAGTCGTCTGTAGACTCACTTCGACGGTGCAATCGAAATAACCTTGAGGGGAAGTGTCCGGCGTGACCTCAGAGATGAGGTGATGCTCTCGCGAAGAGCGTGGGACACACTGCACGGTTGTGACACCTTGCTGTGTCGCTTGCCACCAGTCGGCAAGCTGAGCACAGTACTCCGCTTCTTTGCCTTGCACACTCGGTTCATAATAAGGTGAGTACGAATACCCAAATCCTTGGTCCAGTGTCTCGGAACGTGGGGCGTCTTTGCTGTCAGGGTCACGGAAACGCCGGGTTTTGGTATCATAGGTCACCCAGCGCAACTTATCGTGATACCCTATACCATTGAGACTTCCGCCACGGAACGTAGAGGTCTGAACAAATATCGTCAGTGAATTAAGTGATACAAGAATTTGATCGATACCTTCAGCCTCCGAAAGATGACTATATCTCCAACTTCAGCCTGAGGGAGCCACTCGATGTGCGCCTTCTGGAAACAGTTGACCGTGAAATTGTAGGTCACGATATCCACATCATCTTCCATGCAGGACGGGTCAACAATGGAGAAAATCCGGCACCAATCTGTTACGGTGGTATATAATGATCCAACAATGAGCCCTGGCAGCAAAAATACCACCCACCCAGTGAGCGCGTTTGTGTCGGAGGCTTGGTTGATGTAACTACACCAATGACGTTGAAGAATCCCGTTCCCGGCTCAATCTTCCTGATTGGCATAAACTGATCTCCCTAGAGACAGATTTCGCATGAATCCGCGGTGAACTACTCTAAAGGCATGAAACTCACCCCTTGCGTAGTCATTCCAGCCTTCATGGCCAGCGGTCCATGGTCACGTGCGGGATAATTCGCAGGAGGCGGCGAGGGCATAGTTACCGCCACAGGGGTTGCACTATTGGATGCCGATGAACTGGTCTGTTCAGAACCAGAGGTGCGCTCGTTCGAGGGTACTTGGGGTGGTGATTGTACAACACTGGGAGGAGATGACAGTGCTCGTGAAGCAACCACCTCTGCTTGAGGTGCCGCCATCTCATGCCCGCCTGATTTCGGCCTGGCCTCAAGAGCGGCTGACTTCTGTGCTTGCCTGGTCCGCCTGCGCTTTTGCTGTCTTGAAAGCCCTTTTGCCGGTGACTGCGCATCAGATTGAGGAAGATTAGCAGCTGGAGAGTTGCGATGCGCATGGGACGCAAGGACAGGAGTCGGTTCTTCTCGCGCCTTCTGCTTAGCAACAGTTTCAGGCCGTAGGCTTTTAGACGGGGGATTTGTATTTAACATTTCCACGTCATCTTTGGAATGATGCCGGGCAATGTCCGTAAGGCGGGGAATGTCGGCGTTCGCGTTATACCAGTCTACTAGGTGTGAGGGTCGCGTCAACACAAATTACTTTTGTGGACATGACAGTGCAAATTCACCTTTGGGTTCCCAAGTACTAAATATTTTCCCTGTTTCGGGTCCTGACATGAGCATGGCTGCGATCCCATGTTTGAATATGATCTTGATGGGTAGATAGAAAGGGGCAGAAGATTCTGCCCTTGGTATAATCTGCGCGCCTTTGAGAGAAAGGCAGATTTTGTCCTCAACGGCGAACGGGAAGGGGAGTAACTCTTCGACTTTGGAGGAAATGCAAACGAGAAAGCGGAAAGTATCGCCGTGTTCTTGCACCTCGAGGTTCACCTGGCGCTTCCCACCGATACAAGCAAAAACCATGCGTACTTTGGCTTCGATATTATTGGTTTCATCTATCGCAGGGTCGAGGAGGTTAGTTGCATTTGTTCGACGTGTTTCATCAAATAGCGCGAGGCTGTCCTCTCCTGACTCCAGGCGAGGTCGTTTTGAAGAGGATCCTTCTTCCACGGTTACTCTTTTCATGATTGCTTTGGAGTATGCACAGCGTGCGCACAGAGAAACGAAGTTAAGAGATTAATGCAAGACGCGATGTAACGCGGGTTGACCCCCAGGCACTCGTAATATAGTGTTGTATGAAGATACAGGAAGGACCCCAGAAAACTCTCACGATGACCAGCACACTTCCCTTACCGACTCTGTTCTCCAGGGCGCTCGTAACAGTCTCAAAGGCCGCAAATCTGCCCACTGTCGAAGATGAAACACAGGTGTGCTTTTATTATACATCATATATTGTCGATCGTTTCTGACAATGCTACAAAGGAATTAATACATTCCGCCGTCACTGATCTCAAGGAGCTGGACCGGCGAGTCGCAGCCCTTTCATTATTCAGTTCCAACGAGGTCCTTGAGGATATATCCACCAGGAATCTGGTGTACTTGTTTGCACGATATGTTCTCGCTGAGGTGCAGAATCGCGTGAAGACGACGGATAGGGATGAGCGCATGACCGTCCTTAAGGAGACGCAAGTGAATTCTCTATTTCAGTTGATCAATCAAACAGTCCTGACCTGTGATCAGGTCCATCTCAGATCATTCATCCATGACTTGGATACTTATTGCTTAGTGCCTGAAGTGGAACGTGTGCTGTACGCACAAAGCGCATCATCCATAAAGGACGCGGCCAAACGGCGAGAATTCAAGATCAAGCAGTTTAAGGCTGAGAAGGACTTGCGCGCGCGAATCGAAGTTGTGCGAAAACGACGGAAACAGACACCCATTGGAGACCTCTCCCAAACTGATTTTGATCTCATCCGGTCATTACTCCCGTCAACCGTTGCTCCTAAAGTGAGTGACGAAGACGAGGATGATTTAGAGACAGATGAGATCCTTCGGGAAGCAGTATTACTGCTACTACGATTAAATTATGCACAGGCATACTCTCAACTCGAGAGCATGAATCAGGAATTCGAACTCCTGCGCAGCGCTCCACCTCCTCCCAGACCGGGACCACCCTCAGACGACAGGAAAAATAAAATGAAGGAGCAGGATGATATGTGGAAGCTGGACACAAAATCTCGCATCGGTGAGAGCGGACCACTACTTGACTCCAGTGGGAAGGTACCAGAGCATTGCCTTACCACCGCCCAATGAAGTTAATCGCTGTGATAGCCCCTAAGGCCATTCACGATCCTCCCTGCGGGCGCATCAGATCGCGCACGCCTACAAGCTCAGGTCTTCGGACCTGGTCACCGTCTGCCGACGATGAGTATTGACGAGTACCTCAAAATTGAACAAGAACGCGGCAACATTCTCACAGGGGGAGGGTGAGTTCTCACCATTTCAGTCACTTAGACACACTAATGAATCTGCGCAGCCCACAATCTGAGGAACAGCCAACGTCGTCAGAACAACTGGCGATTGACTCCGAAGTGGACGGCACAGTCTTTGGTGAGACAAAATCAGAGGAGAAACGGCAGAAAGACGAACAGTGGGCGCAGTTCAAGGATGTTAATCCGCGTGGAGCGGGAAACACAATGAATCGCGGTTGAAGGGGATAACGATGGGAAGCCGAGAAAGTCCGTTGCATTGTGTCACAAATAATTTGTAATGGCTCGTCGATCTGGGGGAGCAGCAGAACGTACTTGTTTGCAACACGGGCAAGCAAAACAGGTATATAATATCATAAGGGGGTAGCACGTATCGTCACATCGGAAATGGTGAATCAGCAATTGCACTGTGATGCCTCTGGTACGGTGGCAGCCTGCTGTGTCGTAACATCGATTTCTACAACGAAAGGTCAAATGCTGAATCAGCGACACGGCACAAGAAGCATACTGGTATTCTGAGCATCTGTTTGGCCTTCTTTCTCCATACCAGGTAACGATAGAGCGATCTTCTTGAACAAGCTCTTCACGTTATGTCCAGCTTTTGCTGACGTTTCCATGAACATGATGTTCATTTGTGTCGATTTTGCAGTTGCCTCCTCTATAGTAACTTGGCTGATTGGCATGTCAGACGACCTCGTGTTAACAGACGAAAAGAGATGCTTCGACATACCGTTTCTCCGACAGATCGGCCTTGTTGCCGACGAGTACAATAATGACGTCGTTCCCCCGTTCTGACCGAACGTCGTCTATCCATTTTGACGTTGAGAGGAAGGATTGTCGATCTTTCCAGCATTCAGCACCTGTTACCCATATGAACTGGACTCACTCACTCGTGATATCATACACGACTATAGCTACAGACGAATCACGGATGTACGATGGTATTAGTGAACGGAAGCGTTCCTGAAGTAATACAGATCAGCCAATCACTACCGACACAATCAACTACTGCACATCACACGCACCTGTCCGGCAGTATCCCACAACTGTAACCGCACCGTCCGGTCCTCCAGATACATAGTCTTGCTCAGGAAGTCAATACCGATGGTGGCCTGGTAGGTGTTGTCAAACGTATCGTACATGAATCTAAGCCCATGTCAGCACGTGCAGCGGCCCAAGATCCACCCCAACCGACCTTGTGATGAGACTGGTCTTCCCGACGCTCTGGTCGCCAAGAAGAACGATCTTCGTGCGTTTCGGGGGCGTCGAGGAGAAGTCGGCAGTTGCGGGCGTCGAGGGAGCGTCCATTGGCGAGGTACAATCCTGGCTTGAGCCTAAACCGTGTACAACAAAGATAAAACAAGACGATTGGCTTGCCAAGTGCCTGCTAAAGACCTTTGGATGTGAAAGTCGGTCTCCCTGAGCTCTGCCATGGCAGTGTGTTTATCCGTGTTTGCTCCGTTATTACTGCCAGGGTATGACTTGAAGCCACGTGGTAAAGACGTGCTCATCGCCGCCATCAACCTCGAGGCTCTGCAACTTGTCTGCAACTAAACAAACTTGATTTTGGCGTATTTTGGATAGGGTATGCAATGAAACTTTCCGACAAGATTGCGGCATATGACTCGTCGCGCCCTTTCTACACCTTTGAGTTCTTTCCCCCTCGGACTGATCAGGTTCGTGTGTGGTGCTTCCTTATTACGCGCATCCTCCAAAATTTATATCAGGGTTTCGAGAATCTAATTCCGCGTATATCACGCCTGTCGACTCTAAACCCCCTTGCCATAAGTGTAACATGGGGAGCTGGGGGTTCGACGAGGGAGCGGAGCATTGATCTTGCAGGTCTGACCCAATCAGATTATGGGATTGACACCGTTTTGCACTTGACATGCACAAATATGGTCCCAGGCATGGTGGATGATGCTCTCAGGGTGAGTTGCTTCCCACGAAGTACTGGACCACAATGAACACGGCCTAATTAATAGGCTGCAAAAGTGCGGGGTATCCAGAACATACTCGCACTGCGTGGTGGTGAGCACCGCGGTTCTTATTGTGACATTTTTTCGTGCGACTTATGTTCTACGTGAGATCCATCTCGGGGAACCGAACATTGGATGCCCGTCGACTCTCAATTTACTTGTGGACTTGACCTTGTGAAGTACATCCGTTCTTCTCCGGAGTTTTCCTCCCACTTTTGTATTGGCGTTGCAGGTAAGGGCTCATAGCTTTTAAACTTCACATTACTGACATGTGCGATAGCCTACCCCGAAGGTCACCCAGACCGCGAGACTGATGAAGATGGTAACATGAACGTCCTGAAAGAGAAGGTTGATGCCGGAGCCGATTTTATCGTCACACAATTATTTTATGACGCGGAACCGTTCCTCGAATGGGTCGACAAAGTTAGAGCAAAAGGTTAGTAGCAACTCATAGTGTCATATGTGTTCTTCTAATCGGACTGCAGGTATCACTGTACCAATCATACCCGGCGTCATGCCCATTCAAACATATTCTTCCTTTTTGCGCTTGATCAAGCTATGCGGAGTGAAGGTTCCCTTGTCCGTCATGGCTGCTCTCGAGCCTATCTGTGTAAGTATTCTTAAGATACATTGCCCCTACTAATCGGAGAACAGCATGATGACCGGCTCGTCAAGGACTATGGTATAGGCCTTGCTGTTGACATCATTCGGAAGATTACTTCCACAGGAAAAATCAAGGGAATTCACTTCTGCACTCTGAACCTTGAGAAGAGTGTCCAGCTTGTGATAGAAAAACTGCAGTGGGCAGGCGGGAGTCCGACAACGAAGAATAGATTGATAGCCGTGAGTCTCGTTCATCTATTCTTAAGGCCAAGTTGCTGATCGCAATCTCAGGATGCGCCAGGACCGATGATCCACGCGCAACTCGCTAACTCTTCTGATTTGGTCATCGATCCCACCACAGCAACAAACACAGCAACAAATGCGCTAACGTTTAAACAAACCTTGGACCCAGATCCTGGCCGAGGGGAGCTGAATAATGCAGCGACGTGGGATGAATTCCCGAACGGTCGTTTCGGTGACTACAAGAGTCCTGCGTTCGGTGCTCAAGATCAGTGGGGCGGTAGTGGCTTTTGTGTGCGAATTCTCTTCCTTCCTAGCCTAATCAGAGTGCTGACAGTCTTTGTAGCAGTATGAAGGGCTTAGTGAATGGGGTCACCCCAAAAGTACTGATGACCTTACTTCGCTCATCCTGCGCTACCTTCATTCTGAGGTGTCCTCGTCTCCATTTTCCTCCTTACCACTTTCTCCAGAGTCCCTAACTATCCTGCCGTACCTCGAGCAGCTTACGAAGCGCGGGTGGTGGACGATTTCCTCGCAACCCGCAGTAGACGGGGTGTGCTCTACGGATGAAGTTTTCGGGTGGGGTCCGAGAGGTGGCTATGTTTATCAAAAAGGGTTTGTGGAGTTTTTCGTGGAAGAGCAGGACCTGGAGAAGATCGAGAAAAAGATCAAGGAAGAAGGGCAAGGTTGGGTACACTATTTTGCCGGTAATCTGCAAGTAAGCATTCGTGAATATTGTACCATTTTGCGGACTCACGCGGGCGGCTACAGGGAGAATGTAGAAGTAACGTAGCAGATGACGGCCGGAACGCAGTCACTTGGGGTATGTTTCCCGGGCAAGAAATCACTCAGACAACCATAATCGAGCGCGAATCTTTCCTGATGTGGAAGGTACGCATTGCCTCCAGACTCATTCCGCCCATAATGCTTGTACTGATCACATCAATGTAGGATGAAGCATTCTCTATCTGGGCCGAGTGGGCCTCCTTCTACCCACCAGGGTCTGAGGAACGAGAATTTTTAAATTCTGTTCGCAAGGAGCGGTGGCTAGTGAGCATTGTGCATCATGACTACAAGAGACCAGAAGCGCTATGGACGTTTCTGCTGGATGGATAACTCCCGTTATGACGCGTGTACTACAGCACGAGATCCCCGCGTTGTAATTTGTTTGTTGCTACCTAGAACAGTCGTCAATTTTGTTGTATTTGTTCGTTTTCCAAGCTTGTTCCAAGCACACAAATTTGGTCATGGTTCCTTCTTCGTCGGGAAGGGGAATATTGCCAATTTCCCTTTTCAGTCCAGCGTCACGTGAAGATGAATCTGAGAAATGAGAAATCTCACAGCTTCGTCACGACTCATGACAATGCCAGCAGCCTGATACCACCATTAATTGCCACCATCACCGCTGACGAGCACGAGAACATATTGTCATGCTCTCCTCACAGTATTGTCAATCAGCACGGCGAATGCCCTCCCTGGACCTCGCATCAAGCGAGAACTGGATTCGCTCATAAGTGATGAAAGCAAAGACAAGGTCTTCTGGGAAGAGAAAGAGACGAATGTTAGTGCTGATGCGTTCCATTATGAAGCACCTTATCCTGCCGTCCAAAACCACTGCCATCTCCACCAGCCACATCACCTACCAGATATCTGGACCACAAGGGAAGCTGATCGCGGGAGGGAGTATGTTTACGCTTGCTAGCACTCACTACTGCAGAGTGGCAACTCGAAAATAGGATAACCAAGCCGAAGAATTGGCACGCACGATTCGTGGGGCTATTGACAAGACTCTGAGATCTCCGAAAAAAAGGGCAATCAGTTTGCGTCGAATTTACAGACGACAATAACGGAGTCCGTAGACGCTGTATATTTTTCTTCTGGACCAGGGGTGTTCGAGTCTGGCAGTGAGAGCAGCTATAGTGACCAAGAATACCGGGAGAAAAATACGAACAACAAACGGGCCCGGCCAGGCTTGATACTGGAGGCAAAGTGGGCTTTCAACACCGTGCAGTGCTACATGTATATACAAAGAGGTATAACCTACCCCCTCGCCTGCATTCTCTTTCAACCCCACTGAGCTTCGTGTTAACAGCCTTCCGAAGCGAAAATGGTTTGCTCAATTCGCAGATTATCTTGTTCCGAATGATACCACTGCCCAAATTCCTGGCATAGTCCTTGTGGATTATGATTTGCTCACCCTTTCGAAACATCCGAAGTACCGTGACATCTTCAAATTGGCATGGACTCACTTCCTCTGAAGGGCACCAAGCTGTACATGCCCATGCGCCTTCTCACGGTGGCGCAAAGAGAAGAGCTGGCGGTCACACACGGCCAGTGACGACCTGGAGTCCCTCTTCTATATTTTCGTCGAATTTTCTACCACGTTCGACGGGACGAGAGGCAAAATGATTAAACCGAATACGCCTATTTGGGTTGAGGCCTATGAGATATCGGGCAACAGGCCCAATGAAGTGAAGGCGGGGTTGGTACTCCCGCCCGCGAATAACCGGATATTGATAAACAAAGTGACACCGTTCTTCGAGATCTTCAAGCCAGTCATTCAGGAGTGGCGCTGTGGAATTCTCAAGGCAGCGGAGAACGCCAACGAGACTACTTATAACTTCGGCGCCATTAGTCACGAGGAGGTCGAGAGTATCCTCAATAGATGGGTCTCAAAATTCTCGAAGTTGAAGAACTCCCCCTTGTTCCGCTGCATCCGGCGGCGTCATCATCGACATCAAGCCAAGCTGGTGTCCGACTGGGCTTCAGCTAAACTTAGTGCGTCTTCCAAGGAGGGATTTTCTGTGTAGCTAGCAGTTAAGCATGTGCTAAACATGTGCCAGTTGACACTCTCCCAATGATTTGACCTGACAGAAGGGCACTTGCCCCAGTCGTTCGACACACTTGGACAGCGTGGCCGTGCATGCTTCGTCCATGCAAATAGGTAAGGAGTGATAGGTGGCAGGTGTCGATGAGTATCGCCAAATGTGATGCTCAAGGTGTGTACCGAGCAGGATCAGCGCATCAACATAATTGCTGATGAAGGATACGCGGAGCGGAGCCTTGCCAGCGTGATCACATGATTCCGCGGGTGTCTAGAACATTTTCCTTGCGGACATGTGGCTATAAGTCATGACTGTTACATGTGGGCAGACTTACTCTCTCGCAAGGATTGTTAGATTTTATTTGGACCGACATCCCGGGGTGCGGCTATCGCAAACGAGATTTACGATACTGAGGGCTATGTGACAGGTTCATTGTTTTGTATCAATACCTGTTGAATGCTAGGCAGCTTATCATTTGCAATATTCAAAGGGGCCGTCTCCTGGGGCACAAAAGCATCAAAGCCAACGTGAATGGGTCGTCGTTCTTCTCGCACAGAGGGCTGATCTTTTGACACTTGCAGCTATTTCTTGTACCTGATGAGAATTCAAGGCGAGAACCGCAAGCTCGATGTCCTAATTTATATTTGCATAAGTCTATTGCATAGTAGACAGTCCCGCGGATGTGCCATGGATGACAAAGGCTAATAGAGAAGCCCTGAGTTACTCGAGGTTACTCGCGCTTCTCATTGTTTAAAAAGAGACTTATAGCTAGCCCATTGTTGAGATAGATGTTATACAGGCACGATTAATCGACTACGCATAGAATAACTCAATTCTTCTCATAGACATTGTTACATTTCTCCTAGGCCCTCCATTCAATACCCGATCCCGCTCGCTGGGATAGCCAAAGCTGTATAAAACATCAGTATCATCTCGCTATGCATATAATGACTTACCTCTCTCGTGCGTGTTGTTAGATTGCTCCTAAGCCTTCCAATCAATCCCCCCTGCTCCTCCCCCTCCCTCTCCCCATACAGGCAACCTAGCATTTAAATCACCAATGAGGCCAGACTCGAGCTCCTCGCGCTTAGCTAAAGCTGTATAGCATATCAGTATTTCTTTCACCAACTAGGGTGACACATGAGTCCTCACATCTACGTTCAACCATCCCCAAATCTGGTGTGGGATATGCCGCAGCAATAGCGGCCAAGGCCATGAGTGTTGTAAGAACAAGTGAGAGCTGCATGGTTTAAATTGAGAGGAGTGGCTGTTGGACCTCGTCAGATTGACGAGGGCTTTATACCTTCTTGTACGTTCCCTCGGTCCACTGGACGAGAATGGGATGCCAACGAGTATAATTTTGGGTTCGTAATGGTTCAGCCATCAATTTTTTTTTGCCGTATCGATCGCATCTACGAGGCCCTTGAGGGATTGTTGAACTCAATAGGACTGCGTGCGAGCGGCCAGATAAGTAGACTGTAACAGCACCTGATACTTACAAGAAAAAACAGTTACGCCTCATCAATAGAAGGCATAACTCGGGCTCTCACCGAACAATTCAGCTTCTTAGAAAGGTCTAAACTTATGGGTTAATCGAAGTACAACCGTATGTCATGAGCACAGCGCCAATGATTGATTGTTGCATAGGAGCAGCCGCATCTGGTACGAGAACTCTAGCTAGGGCAGACCTAAGTTGCCCGCATTAGTACAGAAGCAGGGAGTTTACCCTTGCTCGTGAACTCTCTCTGTCGTATCGTATCCGAGGCTGGCTCGAGTAGTTATAAAGTGTCTCTTCCATGTTCTGATTTCCACTTTATGTGGTACCATACGGACCTCAAACTCCGTCTCCAACAATTGCTTCTGCCATGGACAACCCAACCCGATCAGATCTCATGAAAGCGCGCTAGTCGTAGCAGTAGATAGAAGTGCTTACGAATCAGAACCGGTGCGCCCCATTATGGCTCAGTTGTGAGGTGTCCCATACATGTTATAACTCTATAGGGGGAACATTCCTGGTCCGAACTTCACGTTTGGGGCACTGAACAATTCAGCTTCTATGTACTCATGGACTGATTCTAGCTCAATCCTATCCTATCTCATGACCGCGAGGTAAATAGCGTGCATTTGTTATGGAAGCAGGGAAACACACAGTTCAGGCTCGTACCCTCGTGAACCCCTCGCGTACAACGCCAAAAGATTTCGCGCACACGTCTTGCCGGTCTAGAAGATCGAGGTTGTAGCCAGTGGTCGTCTTTGTTGAATTACTGAAGGAGTTTTACCTTGGTGGACTAGTTGAACCGCTAATTACAGATCCTGATACATGGGCCAAAGTGGAACATCCGTAGTCATGTTGATCCATCTTACATAAGAAAGTTCTAAATGATGGGCAGAGGTAGTCAACCATTGGTGGAAAATGCCAGACAGCTCGTCTCGAAAGAGAGGAGACGGCAAATGTTCGGATTTGCGAAGCACCTTCTGACAGGTGGTGGGCTGTGCTTACAGGCTAGGCTTAGCTGAAGGTGTAAGGAATCGAATCCACAAGATAACGGTGTGTTCCGCTATTTCATGAATGTGTTTCGTGATTATGAACGTTACACGGTGATGAGGCGGTCTATTGGTATATTTTCAGAACACTCCGCGCCGCGGGAACTACCCGCCACATTACTTACATAAGCTCCGACTTTCCTCGATAAGCAAGCTTCGCCGAAATCCAAGGTCGCGATGGTGACTAAGTTCTCTTACACAGCACTTCTCTGGTTGCTTCATTTAGTTCTCGCTCAGGATCCGGAAGCTAATTTTGCATGGGCTCCACTTGCAGCAGAACCACAAGATGTAGATGACCTCCTTGCACGGACCGAGACCATATCAGCTATATAAAAAATCGCCGAAGCATCTATTACTATCTAAGCACAGGGGAATCTGGAGGAACTTGTGAGCATCAACAACGCGGAGGTCCTTGGAGGGAAGGCATTTGATTTTTTCGAACTGGAGCGGGTTGATCAAGGGATAGTACCCCAAGCTGCTATAGACGAGGTTGATGTCGTGAATCACAACAGCGAGGATGATGGATGGGATGATGTGCTGTTGATGTCTTCGGTAGGATTGTCATTGGTGTTGTGGATAGGAAACTTTAACCGCTGGAGTTATGCCACTTGGCAGAACCGGTTATTCTGCCAGTTCTGCTGGTTGTGCCAGTACAACTAACCTCGAGTAGTTCTGCCCACAACGCTATCCGCTAGTCTTAGCTGACGTGTCCTCAGGATGGTACGCGGACAGCTCGTATACTCAACAACGTGGTGCAAACATGGCAACCATAGCTGTCCGCAGCTGATAGCAACGTCAAAATAATCACGCTAGAAGGAGCTGTCCTGTGTGTGAATTTTGAAAGCAATCGCGATCACGAGTAAGAGCATGTGGGGAAAGATCTAAGAGGGCCTTCTTGATTGTCAGCGTGAATATTAGTTCCACTGCGAGTGTTACTGCGATATTTCAAGCTAGCTGATTCTCTCCCTTGACTTTTTCACTGGTCGTCTGTGGTGCGCGGAGGCATCGACTTGAAAGTGTAGGCTGGCGTGGCAGGCATCCGAGTCAGTACTTACTTCTTAATGACCACCAATTACAATGCGGAATATCTGTTGCATTAATATTAGGATCAACATGCAGAATAGGGCAGAGCAGTGGAATCCATATTGTTATGGTAGTTCAACATTATCGAAGAAAACTCGACTCACATTCATCCTGACACGGAATGTAGCATACACCAAAGACACAGCCGTGTGTAGATTTGACAGTACCACCATGGCTTATGCGGTCAAGCCTTTGCTCGGCGGTAGTCACCTGTAAGATCAGTGCATAGAATGTCTCACATTCACCACCTTGTGATGCAGTGTATAGCCAATGCAAAGCTGTCATTTTATATCAGCGCAATGACTCGTGACTCCGAAGCTAACGGTGAGCACACCGTATTTTATTTTTTTGTAAAAATGTTGGGTCTGCGACTTTGTGACGTCAACTTGTGGGATGGCACTTAAGCCCGATGTGTCTCATATGATATCCGCCGGGGGCTCGTACGGGTTAGATAGTCGTCATCTTATGTTGTGTCGCGAGGAGTAATAAACAGTTTGTATACACGTCACGGTACTTACTGAGACTCGACACCATCGACAGTAAATAGATATAAACAGTTGAATTACACTGCTAATCGGGATAAACCTGAACCTAGCATGCGTAATCATACCTTTATGGGATCTGTGCGAACCCCAGTACTATCATAATATATACATTTACCAAAGGATTTCCGTCAATGTAGTAATGGCGGCATGAAGCAAACCATAAAAGGATATTGGTAGCAAAGGTCAAGCAGATATTGGGATCCTCTCTGACGAGTATGGTGTCAGGGACGGTCCACTATCATGTACTAACATATTACAAACCATCATAGCCTAACATTGCGACAGGGTCAAATGCTGAGGTCTGGTTGGCCTCACACCTATGTTGTGCGTTTGCAATACAGTCATAGTGTTATCGTATTACTGTATTTCTGTATTTACTCTAACACCGGTGCTTCACAGCATGATCGGGCAGAACGAGGGCAAGCATTGATTGATCTAATTTACAAACAACAAATATAACTAGATGAAACACGCTACAAAAACGGAGGGACGGTAAAAATAAGCTGAAAATCATCCCATATACTTGTGCGAATCTCATCCAGGATGTCCTGGCTGAGAGGGCTATCAGCTGGTATAGTCAGGTTGTCCGCCGTCCAAGACTCGATAAATTTCCCTTCCAAACTGATCTTAGGGTTCCAGTTAGGCCAGGGCCCCCGAGGAAAGTCTGGATTGGCGGCAATGAATGCCATCCAGAATGCGTCACAGCCCCAAGCCCACTCAGGCGCTCTAACATCCCGAATGGTGTCAACCAGCCAAGTTTCCACCTGTCTGGCGAGCACAGACCAACTGGCCTCGGACAAGGGATTGAAAGATGGCGGAAGTGGCAAGAAGGGTATCTGCATGAATGTAAGGTTCAATGTGTGTCAGCGCTGCGCACGATTCGAGACTCACCATGAGCTGTGGGACAGACTGCGACTCGAAATTTGAAACCAATTCTGTCCAGGAAATATGGCGAATTACAGGCACCGCCTGCCCTCCAAATTCTCGCGGCCATAGAATTGTGACCTGTAGTGGCTAGTAGACAAGGTGAATGGTGTCAAGGAATCTGAATTAAAAGAGTACTTACAATGGTACCAAAATTCGACTGTGCAGACTGCGCTGTACTTCCTTGGAAAGATATGGAGAGGAAAACAGGTGTGAAGCCAATGCCTTCATTGGCTTGGAGAGGCGAGGTGTGGATGATGCTGTTGATGACAGACATGCACCGTGTGGTGAGAGTTGTTTTATTGACAATGTTTTGTTGATTGAAGTGTGTTGATCGAAGACTTTGTGTTGATTGATTGAAGACAAGGTAGTATTCCCACGGATGACGTCTTGAAGTTTCTCCTATCAATATTCAAGCTTAATAACGTGTTTGCAGCGTGTCGCCTGTTTTTTCAACGTTTTTTGCCTTTGCTTCGAGCGCTTTCAAACATTGCCCCACCATGGCCAGGACAGGTTATCAAAGGTCAATTCCCTTTGATCCCCAAAGTACGAATTCTTTTTATGCCAGCAACAGACTTACAGTGATATTGATATTCCTCAGTATTTTCATTACAGAAACTCGGCGGACGTGTGGTATGCAAGATCTGCCCGCAGCGTAATGGGAAGCGGCGAGATATGAAGACCTGTCATGTTGCTGAACACTGCGCTACCAAAATTCATAAGGACAGCCTTATCCTTAGTTTGCACACTCAGGAGAAGAAAATTTGTTCACTGCCTGCCCAGTCACCATCACCGTCACCTCCCCTCACTCCCGCTGCTCATTCCCGCCTGGACTACGATATTCCACCACCGGAAGACCCAGAGAGACCGATAACACCTTCCTCCCCTTTGGTGATGAGTACGGAGGATGATGACAGCGGCCATGACCATGAACTCGAATTACCACAACTGTGGGATCCATCAACACGAATGTTTGCGCTTGAGGAACCCGACCTTTACAGTGAACTTATTGCTGCTCGAAACCGGGGTGACGCACTCTTTACGTGCTCTCTTCAGCCACTTGCAGATGAACTTGGACTTGACGATGATGACATGCTGGACCCTCCTCCCGACGATAACGAATTTGGACTGTTCTTGGAGGGTGAAGGTATGTAGATACTGTGTACGTCATGCGAGAAATAACTAATTGTGCTTCAGAGGATCGCATCAACAATCAACTGTGCATGGATGATTCCACATATCCATGGCCTTCAAAAGCGGTATGTTTCATTTTATTTTGATCTATCAACAAATTTACGGAATCCTGCTAGACCTTTATCACAGACCTCCTCTTTGGTTCGACGCGCCTGCGATTTTCAGAGGCACAGAAAAAAGCTGTGCTTAGTTGGGCGCGCGAAATGGGCGCTCAAAATGTGCCTACCTTGTATGCGCTTTGCAAAGCTCAAGATCATGTTCGTAGCTGCATCGGAAATCCAACTCGCAAGGTTACAGCATCTTCCGGTAACATCTTTTATATAAACTCAATTGGCTCCGCAATCGCTATGGTACGTGCATCTATTTTAGTGTCAACATTGATTGATCTTCCTCACCAGGACTATTCCAACCCTCTCACTCGCTTCTGCATGCAGGACTATCCTGAAGATGGGAGAGGGAATATGTCTCAAGTGCACCACGGATCGAAGATGCTGCATGAGCTTCCCGAAGAACTACTTGTCCCATCTGTTCGCGTCAACGGCGGTATCTACTTCCGGAATGAGCTGCTTCAGTCGACAACTGGATTCTTTATTCCTACGCGTTTCTTTCAAGCCAATATTCCTAGTTGCGATGCTGAGCAAGCATCATTGCAGGTCCTTGCATTGGGACATCCAGTTGTACAGACAGAGGTACAATCACCATCCGAGTCTAACTTCTAATTTAATATCTCTTTCTAGGCAGGTTTTGCAGTAGATCCTGAGCGCATCATATTGGAAGTTTCGTCGTTTCAGCGCACCTACATAGACTTGCAGGCTGACGTTCATTTGTGCGGGTTTACATGTAGGTAATTTTTTCTATCGTTTAGGTGACTATTCATAGGTTTCTAGCGACATCGCAGCCCTTCGCTGCAAAAATGCCCAACCCCCTGCGCAAAAAGTCAAATGGTCGACTCGTCCTCACTGTTCCCCTAATAATCTTCATGGACGATGTCTCTGGGAATGTGTCGAAGCAGTGGAACAAACACCACGCGGTGTACATGTCTAATGCCTCCATGCCGCGCGAGATGCTTGAAAAGGAATTCTGTGTTCGTTTTGTGTCATCCTCGCCGCATGCTTCACCCATGGAGATCGCCAAAGCCGTCAAAGAATCAATCGAGTTTGTTTATTTCAATTTTTTCAGTCTATTTGTCTTATTGACGTGTCCGTCAGGGCTGCCGCGGATGAGGGCATTGTTGCGTACGACTGCAAATACAAAGATGAGGTGATGCTCATCCCCTATGGCCTATTTGACGCAGGAGATAACCCCATGCAGGCGGAAGAGTGTAGCCACGGCGGTTTACACTGCAATTACTTCTGTCGCACATGCAAAGTAGGAGGTACGACGTCTGTGAAACAGTCTGATGAAGGGTATCTTAAATTATTCGAGGTAAGCCTTTGTATTTGTCGGCGATCAATTTTCTGAAGCGGTGCATTAGATTGGAGAGCTTCGTCGACCAGAAGAAACAATTCAGCAGATTCTCGAGCAGATCGAGCTTTCAAAGTTGTCGGGTGGAACTACGAAAGTCCAGGCTGCTGTCTCGTCGACTGGCACCCGTGACACTACCTCCGCATCAATTGTGAACCGCCTCCTGGAACTTGGGAAGCGTCTGCGGAAACGAGAACCTGGGAAACCGGCGATCAACGAACGAGAGGTCCGACAGACATTGGAGAGGGAGTTTGAGAAAATGCTGGGCGGTCTCCCCGTGGAAGATCATATCAACCCTTTGCTTAGCATGACAGGGCTCAACATACATCAAGACACGCCGACAGAGATTCTCCATACCATTCTCCTTGGCGTTGTGAAGTATTTTTGGGGTCAGACTATCTGGATCCTCGACAAAACGCACCTCGTCAAGATATTCCAAACCAGATTGGACAATATCAACAAAGACGGCCTTAATTCACCCACTCTTGGCGCAGAGTATATCTGTCGGTACAGCGGTAGCCTGATCGGCAAACACTTTAAGAGTCTTGCTCAGATCATGCCTTTTCTTATATACGATCTTGTTCCGTCTACTGTCCTGAATGGATGGACCGTCATTGGACAGTTGGTGGTCTTGCTGTGGCATACGAGAATTGATGATGTTGAGGAATATCTGGTACGCCTTCCCCAACCCTGACCCATGAATACAAACTCATTTCATGTCTGCGATACCAGGCTTGTCTTACGCGTACTATTGACGATTTCCTCAATATCTCAGTTCAGTGCGCGCCTAGCATCATCCTCACCAAATCAAAATTCCATTTTTTACTCCATATTCCGGCCTATATCCGAAGGTTTGGGCCACCTATCTTGTTCTCAACTGAACGCTTCGAATCCTTCAACCACGTCTTCCGACTCAGCTGCGTTCATAGCAACCGTCAAGCTCCGAGTCGCGACTCATGCAATGCGTTTGCATACAATGATATTCTCAAGCATGTCGCTACTGGGGGTTTTTGGATGGAGTCGAAAAGCAAGCGGTGGGTGCACGCTGCTCCAGGTGTCCTCAACTATATTTCCGATCACCCAGAGCAGCGGCACCTCTTGGGTGTTCCCACAGTGCACCAGAATCATCCAGGTGAGTTCGTTGCAACATGTCCGTTCTTAATTCTCATGTATGCAATTTTCGAGGCATGGCAACAGTTCCAACTTCATTAAAGACCTCACCTGTCCCATGGACATCAACACGCTCAAGCATGCTCCGGCCAGAGATCAAGTCATCAAACAATGCCGTATTTCAGGCGTCTTCGGTCATTGCTGTGAACGGGGACAAGGTCGCCATCGAAAAATATGCCATTTTGCGTGGCAATGGACAGCTGCCTGCTGAGGTGAGGATTTTACTTTTGCCATGCTGCTGTTATCTTATGCGCTTTTAGATGTCTATCGGAAAGATCGTCGAAATCATTGTTTCAGAATCTAGCCCTCATGTCGCAAGTCATGTTGTTATCCGGCCTCTTCATTTTCTACCTGATATCCACCCCCAGTTGCGATTACCTCAGTTGCAACTTGCTGATGAAGAACACTTACTATTGCCCTCGGTAAGAGCAGCCCATTCTTCATTCTTTGCAAGCAGCTAATTTGCATATACTTCAGAACATTTTGTCTGCTGTAAACGTACAGCATGACTGCGCATCATCGAGCTGCGGCGAGTTTGTATCTGTCAACATACAACAAGAACGCACTGAGACGACAAAGACCAAGACATCACTTGTGCATAAAAACGCGAGCCATTTTGTTTTAAATGCCCACTCACTGCACAATTACGCCCTCATATCACAGGTCATCCCCCAACCCCTTCGCATGGCAATGAGCCTCCCTTTTTTGCCAAACTCACGAGAGGTACGGTTAAAAGCGGCAAGGACTGTCAGAGCAAAGAAGGCTGGAACCACAGACACAGCTGAATGTACTGGAAGCGCCCCTCCAGTATTTGATCGTGCTACCCGTAAGCCCAAGCAAGGTGGGAAGGATAAGAAGGCGCAGAAAGTAGCTGCGGGTCCCTCCTTTCAACCTCCTATGCATTCATCCCTAGCGCCACAACCAGCGGTCCATCCAATTGCACATTCGGCATTCTCTATCCCCCCAACGCCAGTACATGTACCCGCTTCCCATCATCCTCCGATGCCAGCATATGCAGGCACCTACCATCACCCAATGTACCCAGCGCCATATGTATTCCCCTCTGTATTCCAAGGCCCCCTTATGTACCCACTTCCTTCCCCTACAAATACTCATTTTCATGCGGGACTTTGAATAAAATTTATTCTTTTGATGCACGATAAACCGATTAAAAGCGATGAGAACCGATGAAAACCGGTGAAAGCTATTTATAGAATAGGGTGGAAACAGCGAGGGAATACATATGATGTTGGGCTGAGACCAACAAACTTTACTCACAATTCACCGCAAACTGTCTCGCTGCAACATGACTGCTCATATCGACGTCCACGCATTCTATGTCGAAAAGGCGACCACGGCTTCTTATCGGGTTGGGGAGACAATCACCAACATCGGCCAGCTCAGAGCCTGTCTCCAGCATCAAGCTCGACTCAAGTTCGATAAAGAATGGTTACAAGTACCTGACCTTCATCCTGATCCTGATTCCGTTCTTCTCGCTACAAGTAAGTGTTTTTCTGTTAAATCAAAACGAAAATTCATTCACGCCACCTCCAGATGTGCATGGTACCTCCATGCTCGAGGATAACCTAATGACAATCCAGAGCGTGTGTGATTCGGCGGATCACATTCTTGCGATCATTCCCTCCAAGCAGCTATCACCCTCTGTTGCTCCCTCGCTCGCGGCAACCGCGACCCAATCCTTGGCGAGCCCCGCCCACATGAAAAGTCAGGAGCTGATCAACTTAGTTGTATCGATGAATGACGCACTTCGAATCAAGGAAAATATGAGGGTTGAACAACAGGTTGACTTTCATGCGACCCTGCAGTCATTTCAACGTGATCAGCTGCGGAGGGAGGAGGACGCGAAACTAAATTTTCAGCGATACGCCAAGGAGGTGGAGCGGCAGCTGAAGGACACTCAACATCAATGCAACATCCTCAAGCAAGAGCATACCCTTGACCAATCGCGCATCAAATTTCTGGAGGACGGACAACAAGAGGACAGACAACGCATCAAGGACCTGGAAGATAAGCAACAGCAGGACAGCTCACGGATTCAGGACCTTGAGAGTTCGCTTCTCGAGGAGAAGAAGCTTCGGGCGGAGGAGAAGGAAGCTAGTGATAAGGAGAAGGAAGCTAGCGAGAAAGAGAAATCGTACATGCTAATGAGGATCGAGGAGATTGAAGATGAGCACATCGAAACCGCTGGGTGGGTTAGTGGTGCGGTAAGTATCGACTATCTAATGCAATTATGACGCTTGAATTATTGGCTAGGATACCAAACTCATGGATCGCATTTTACTCCGCCACTTACTTGATCTCGCGCAAGCGAAGCTAGCAGTCGCGTCTGGACTTCCCAGAAACAACAAGACCTTCCGCATTACACAGTCATTCCTCTGGAGAGAGGCACTGTCTTCCTCCCAGACAACCCCTGAGCGCGTGCAAGCTGCCAAGAAATTATTGAATGCACCAGGGTTGTCTCTTGATGCCGCCACGAAAAAATTCGCCTTATCCGACAGCGGGATGAACATCGTGGTCCAGAGACCATCGGTGATTCGTGACATGGGAGACAGCGCAGCCCACCCCAAGCATGTATCAAGGGAGGCGTTTAAGAAAATAATTTCGCGACACGCTGTCGCCGCAAATCACGACGGACTTCATGCTATCTTAGAACTTGTTGATCCTGTAACTCAGTCCACCTGATTTCACATCACGCGCTCACAATGTTGTATTACTTTCTTTTACCCCAAGTTACAAGTACGATTACGCAGATTCAAATTTACCAATATCAGTTGTACTTATTGCCAATGGATTTTTGGTCACGTGCAACGCATCACGTTCGGGCTGACTCTGACACCGTCTCTGTTCAGTGTGTTCATCGCGCAGTGCTGGGTATGAGCTACCTCAGTCAATTCCGACTCCAACAAGCACCTGTACCATTGTTCCCCCGGGCTGCTACATCTAGCCCGCCGTCATCCCCACTTGCAGCACGAACACCACTTCGGTCAGTCACACGAGGCGAGGTCAGACGACGGATCGAATCTACAGAGTCAGAGGCTGAGACCAAGCGGCTCAAGACTTGCGCTACAGACGTTTGCAGGACCAATGGGTTACCTGATGATGCGCTAGAAGAATTTGCTACAGTAAGTCTAAATCATCAGGATGTACAGTATAAGCGTACTAAAATTCATCCATCCATGCAGAAACCCGAAAAGGAGATGCTACTAAACATCATGGGGCATCTCATTGCCCTAGACAAGCGAAAGGCGAGAGATGATGCTCGTGAGCTCATTAGCTCGGCGGAATTCAAGGTACAGGTCTGACTCTCATATATTTACTATTCTTACATTGCTTCAAGCAATCACTCACCGACAGGCTTCGCACTTGCCTATTGTCTCCGAATCTCTCAGGATATGTGACGCACTTGTCTCAGAACCTCTTCGTGAGTTTTTTTATTCTTATCTGACAAATAAAGATTAATATGTTTTAGGAATTCGTAAAGAAACACCCTTCTGTATTCAAGATACCCCTCGCCGCCCTGCAGGATCTCGAACTTATGAATAAGTTGGACTCGATGATTAAGGAACTGCTTACGCAGCAGCGCGGAAGCATGAAACAAAAGGTTTGTCGATTCCTGAGCTGCTATGATATTTTTAACGTTTTGAACACAGATCGTTACTTCCGCTGATAGAGGATCAAATATCCATGCGCTCTGTCGGTCGTTATCAGGTAACTGCACCGAGATTACTTCAGCACACTGGTCTCGTGTGGCCTTTCTGGCAAGTTGATTCACAAACCCCGCCATGTCTTCCACTCACTCTAATCTAGCGTTCTTCACTGATCCAATTCCGGACTGTCGTTGCAGAGAGCGCAAAGTCCCAAGAGGAAGTCACTTTGAACAGCAACCATGAACACGTGCCAGCAGATATGGAAGGTGACGAGGCCGATTCCAGCCCTTCAACAATCACACAGTGCACTTGGACGTTTAATCAATACTGGAGCTATATTGATGTTCTTTTGGGTGAGCTCAGGGACGACGCTAAGAAGAATACATCTACGACACAGGCAGCTGAAGAATTCGTTAAACAGTGTGTTTCACTGCTTCTTGAATTTTGTGCGTTAATTTGATCTCATCATTGATTTGTATAGATTTTTCACAGAGGTCCTCCAAGCTGACTTATGAAAATACCCGAGTACAACGTCCCTCGCTCCATCCCTCGACTCCGTGACTGTGGACTGGCAAAAGACAATTCATAGCAAACTTATTTGGTGATTCTTATGTTATGTCCTACTATACTTTAGATACACCGTGATAATAATGATGGATTGCTCCCATATTTTTTACCGTTGCTGGAAGTTTATGTTCTGATATATATATAGTTGAGTTTTAATGTCACCATGGTATACATGCGGTGGTGATGAAGTGTCGATGGGACCTGATATTAACCTTACTCTCATGTTACCGCGCTAACATTGTGGTATTATTTTGCTCCCTTGGTTGCTCGTCCCTTGTGCAGACCTTGTGCAAAGGTTGGCTCGGCTGTCAGCAATACCCAGGAAGGCCGGTGTCGAGGTTATATTTAATTTATGGTCTATGCAACATTTCCGGAAATCCTTCCGTCAACCATAACCCTATGTGCATGTGTCACAATCCTATTTTTGGGTCATGACAACGTTTGTGACAATTCTCAGTGTAGCGCAAAGTTGCGAAGTCAAACTTACTTTTGGTAAGCTTGACTGGTCAACTGGTCGCCGACCGAGTACGCCAGCCTGGCTTCTACAATCAGTCTACCACGATACTCAAATGGCGTGCCTATGGCAGAAATCTGGACTATTTCAAAAAGCGCGCGTAGGCAGAATGATCACGAGTCCACAAATCATAGCTTGAAAAACTGGTCGGAGTCGCTATTGGCGGGGTCCACTTGCGATGCTGCAACTGTCGTGTTTAAACGGCAGGAACCTTACACTATGCGTCCACCAGCAATGACCGTCATTTCATCATATATCGATTTTCTCACCGATTAATTTACAGACGTGAAGTAATGAATTGGCACACGGATCGCGCTGAACCTGGGATCATCGATCACCTACAGAGCAGAAGATATGCCGTCAATGCTTGCAGTGAGAACGAGCCCGCGTTCTTGACACTCGGAACGGATATGGTGTGGGCTATTCCTCCCTCAAACGGGTTATCCGACGGATGCTGCCTTTGTCCTACCGTACAGTCAAGTCTTTGGATCTGGTGCAAAGCTTTTAAATCGATATTGCAAGTTGCGGACCGGTCCCGGTGCTGTTTGGTCGGTCGAGTGCTGTTTAGTCGGTCGAGAGTGGGTTCGAAGGCGCCTCAGCGTTACGTCGTGGCTCATGTAGTTGAGGTAACTCATCGGACCAAGACGCTTCGACTGCTGATTGGCTTACCACTAAAAATGCGCTCTCCGCAGCTCGTTGGACGATTCAATGGATTCAATGGACGCCAGCGCATTGCCAGCACGTCCCCCTTCGCAGTGCGCTGGAATACTTAGTAACTGCACATCTCGATGATTTTTCTGTATCATTGCCATACTACATATCTACCCGGCGACCACTATGTCTGCCTCCCCAGACCACTACCCAGAGGATACGGAGAAATATGTCGGCGCGCTTGAAGATACTGAAGATATGTATGCGGTCGAGGCAGCGCCAGATCGCGTGATCGTAAGGCGTTTTGGTAAATTGGGTCCTCTTCTTTCAAGACTCTTTGCAAGCGGTGTCGAGGCCCGTGGAGTAGAACGTGTACCAGAAAATCAGCGAGAGTTAAAAAACGCCTGGAATAAGTGAGTATCCAAGCTTCGCTCATATGCCTGATCTGAGCCCGGTGTAGCATCCTAATGTGGTGGTCAGTTTGCATCAACCTGACCAATATTCGTCCTGTTACTTCTCCTATGTGTAGGTCTGTTAACACAGTCTTTGATATCATTCCTATCGGCGTGCTCGCACAGTCAACTTTCACTTTGAGTTTCGGGTAGGTCACTCGAGCGAGCATGGTATCGCAACCACACTAATTCACCCAAGCAATGCTGTAGCGACTATCCTCTGCTTCGGCGCTCTCGGGGCCGTCGCGACGGCATTTATTGCTACCCTCGGCCCCATAACGGGCCTCCGCACCATGATCATCACCCGTTTCAGCTCGGGATATCTTGGTTGTACCATATACTCAGTCCTCAACATTCTCACCCAGTGTGTTTATTCTCGCTTTTGATTTTTTTTTGCTGAGCTTTGTCTAGGCTCGGTTTTGCCACAACAACAGTTATCCTCGGAGGTCAAACACTCTCCAACATCAACCCTGGAACCCTCCCACCCATCGTTGGCATTATCATCATCGGCGTGTGCTCCCTTATCCCGTGCTTTATCGGATACAACATGGTGCACGTCTACGAGCGCTATGCTTGGATAGTCACCCTGACCAGCTTGCTCTTTCTCTGGGGTCTTGGCGGGAAAGCCGGATATCACGTCAACGCGCAAAAACCGCTCGAAGACATAGGGCACGCCCTCTCAGCAGACATTCTTAGCTTTGGTGGGATCGTATTTGGCTCGTTCACAGGGGTAACTATCATTTAATTCTCGTCAAGTGCTAAATTGCGATTGAAACGACTACCAGTGGGCGCCAATCGCAGCGGACTTTAACTGTCGGCTGCCTGTTAATACACCACCCATGCGCGTGTTCCTGCTCACGTTCTTCAGCCTGTTCATCCCTATCTGCTTCGTCGAGATTCTCGGTGTTGCACTCATGACCATCACAGACCCTGCGTACGTTGCAGCATTCGGAGGCGGCTCGACTGGCGGCCTCGTCGCGCAGGTCCTTTCGCCGTGGGGCCACTTTGGTCAGTTCATCCTCGTCCTGCTCGCGCTTTCTGTCATGTAAGATCAAACGAATGCCTTGGCCTATCTGCACTAAACCAGTGATAGCGCCAACAACATCCCAAATACTTACTCCGCAGGCTTATCCATGCAGGCACTTGGACGCCCATTCGCCGTCATTCCGCGCTTCTTTTGGGTATTTCTAGCCTTCGTGGCGTACACTATAGCTGGTGTTTCAGGCCGCGATCATTTTAGCACCATCCTTTCCAATGTTTTAAGGATCCTTAGCGACTGGACGGCATTCTTTATCGTAATCGTAGCCGAGGAGCACTTCATCTTCCGGCGGAAAAATGGGCCGCTTGGTGGGTACAACTTGAATGATTATGATACGCCATCGAAGTGAGTTCCGCTGGTTCTGTCGCATGAAGCTCATGACCTCGCCATCTTCTCTTCACTTCGTAAGACTCCCGGTAGGCGTAGCAGGTATACTTGCAGGGTGTTTTGGCGCCGTAGGCGCTGTGATTGGGATGTCACAGGTATGGTTATCGGCGCTGCATCAGCCCATTGTGCACGTACCTTATCTCAACTTGTTTGTAGGCGTTGTATACAGGCCCACTTGGAGAGATGGTAGGAGCAGAGATCGGGTTCGAGGTGCGTATGATGTTTGGTTATATGAACTTTGATCCGCTCACGATATTGTGCACAGCTCGCAGCAGCATTTTCGGCTGTCACTTACCTTCCGTTGCGTGCGCTTGAAATTAGGCTCACTGGTCGATGATGGAAGGTCGACTATCTGTTGATGCTGGTGGTAGTGAAGTGGTACGATGGTTATATTTATCATAGCGTGTGTCTTAAGTATTACATGTAATCCGGACGACTGGATCACCCGTTAGAGCAAATAGGAATTTTCCAGTACTCTTTGACGCGTTTTGCTTCACGCACTGGGTTCATGAGTCACGTGATGTGTTTAAATTAGGTGTGACAGCGATGTCACGTCCTGTCAACCTGGTCGTGACAGACGCGCCTTTGACGCGACCGCGTAGTATCAACAGCACGCAATGTCCCTCCCGGTGATCAACATACCAATCAATTACGACGATGAGCTAGGTATGTTTGCTCGAGGGACCATCGATGAAGCTCATGCGTTCACAGATAAAATACAGAACTTTTTGTCCACATATGTGGGCACAAACAAGCAATGGGACGAGGGATTTGCAGATATGGCGCTCAGCGACGACGAGGATGATACACAAGACGCTGGCAGGAAAAGTCTTAAGTATATGCAGCAGCTTGTACGTCTCACGCAGCGATCGGGACGCGTCTTTACTCAACGTTTGATTCAATAGCAACGCATAGCAAACCGTGAGCAGCAGATGCTCACCATTGACATGGAAGACATCCATCAGGTACGGGATCTCCACACCTGTCTGGCGTCTCAGACATGTTAATCTTTCTAAAAGCACGAAAAAACGGTCGCTGAACTGGTATCTCGGATACGAAACAACACTCGGCGCTACGTCGCGCTTTTCAGTGAAGCCGTGGACAAGATCATGCCGCCTCCAACCAAGGACATAAGTGAACACGATGAAGTCATTGATGTCATTCTGCATCAAAGGCGAGAGCGGAATGAGCAGACTGAAGGCAGCCAGGAAGGCTTTCCCGACCATCTCTTGCGGCGATAGTACGTGGTGGCATCGTCAATGCACCTCCCAGAGCTAACTCTCAATTCAAGCAACCTTTATTTCCAGCCTCTTCGCTCTGACGTTGCTCTGGCCGTCCGAGAGGTCAAGGGAACATATCTTGGCAGGCTGATAACTGTTCGTGGCATCGTCACCCGCGTGTCAGAAGTCAAGCCACTGCTCCTCGTGAACGCTTACACTTGCGATGTTTGCGGTTCAGAAACATTCCAGCAGATATCCAGCAAAACCTTCTCTCCCATTGCAGACTGTCCAAACGAGCAGGAATGTAAGAAGAACGGCATACGTGGCTCCCTTCACATGCAGACTCGAGCGTGTCGGTTTAGTCCTTTCCAAGAAGTTAAAATTCAAGAGATGGTGAGTAATTGACAGCCGCTTTCGTATGGCCATTAACAACGTCCAGGCCGACCAAGTGCCAGTAGGACACATACCCCGATCCATGACTATACACGTGCACGGCAACCTGACGCGCCAAATGAACCCAGGTGATGTTGTCCACCTTGGGGGTATCTTCCTCCCAATTCCATACACCGGATTCCAAGCTATTCGAGCTGGGCTACTCACCGATACCTACCTCGAAGGCCACCATATCCACCAGCTCAAGAAGCAATACAGTGAAATGGAGATGACGCCAGAAATACAAGCACAGATCGCGGAGATGCAGGCAGACCCATCGCTGTATAACAAGCTTGCCCAGAACATTGCGCCCGAAATATATGGACATACTGATGTGAAAAAAGCCTTGTTGCTTTTGCTTGTGGGGGGTGTAACGAAGACGATGGGCGACGGGATGAAGATTCGTGGCGACCTCAATATATGCCTGATGGGCGATCCTGGTGTGGCCAAGTCGCAGCTACTGAAGTATATCTCGAAGATCGCTCCTCGAGGTGTCTACACTACGGGTAAAGGTTCATCAGGAGTTGGTCTGACAGCCGCAGTCATGAGGGACCCGGTTACCGATGAGATGGTTCTTGGTGAGTTTCTTTTCGGTCGTGCTTGAATGCCTGGTCTGACAGTACTGAAGAGGGCGGTGCCCTGGTTCTCGCCGACAACGGCATTTGTTGTATCGATGAATTCGATAAGATGGAGGAAACAGACAGAACTGCAATCCACGAAGTAATGGAGCAACAAACAATATCCATCTCAAAAGCTGGAATATCCACGACTTTGAACGCTCGCACGTCCATACTTGCGGCTGCAAACCCTCTGTATGGTCGGTACAACCCAAAAGTGTCGCCTGTTGAAAACATTAACCTGCCCGCTGCACTCCTATCTCGTTTTGATCTTTTATTCCTCATCCTGGACAAACCGACGAGAGAAGACGATGAGCGGCTGGCACAACATGTGACGCATGTGCACATGTTCAACTGTCATCCAGAGCTTGAGTACGATGCTGTTGACCCTGTCCTTATGAGGTGAGCATGCACGTTCAAGGCATTCGTTCTAATTTAACGAGCCGCCTGACAGGCACTACATCGCCCAAGCCCGCCAACGCCGTCCTACCGTTCCCTCAGATGTCTCTAGCTACATTGTCGACTCCTATGTCCGCCTTCGCAAACTCTCGAAAGACGAGGCCGCACAAAAGAAATCCCACACTTACACATCCGCGCGTACACTCCTGGGTGTGCTCCGTCTCGCACAATCCCTCGCACGCCTGCGCTTTGCAGACACCGTACAGCGGGATGATGTCGACGAGGCACTCCGGCTTATGGATTGCAGCAAAGAGAGCCTGCACGATGACGATGACAAGGAGTATGAGCCTGATCGGTCTGTTGTCAGTCAGATCTTCAGGCTCATCAAAAGCATGTCGAGCGAGGGCGGGAGGAAACGGCGAAAGAGACAGAAGAGGTTTGGTCGAGGCCCCGGTGGGGAACGCGAGATGGACGTCGACTCGGACGAAGAGGAGGAGGAGGATGGGGAGGAACTCGCGCTCATTGATGTTCGGTCTCGTGTGTTGGGTGCTGGATATACTGAGGTGCAGCTTAATGATACCATTTTGGAGGTAAGTGTACACGCATCTGATGACGAGACATGTTTGACCCTCGTTTCCAGTACGAAGCTATTGATGTCTGGACACGTGTAGCAAATGGGGCGAAGCTGCGGTTCATTCAGGAGTAGGGTATCTTGTGTAGGTTCGCTGTGACTTTCCTCTCGATTTATCCTTCATGTAATTTCATATGTTGTGCGAGCCCGCATGTAAAGTCTTTTGCGTTTCCTATAGCTTCCCTGAAGTTATCCACACAATCCACGCAAGACTAATGGTGTCTTGTCTGTCTATCGACGCTCTGTCTCACCCACCGATGCAATTAATGGAATTTCCCGGAGTCAAGCTCAAAAGGCCGATGTGAAGAATAACGATGTAAGCACAAAAAAATCAATAACCACAGCGCAACACATCATGTCTGCGTCTTGGCTGCATACGACATAAGCCTCCGTATCAATCCGCGAATCTAATCGTTCGAGGTCGTTTGAGAGGCCGATCTGCTTTATCGTCTGACTGATTCTTGGTATCGATGACGCTGAGATTTGGGGGGGCTGACGATGTGGCCGAATTCTCCGAGGTGTGGGTGGATGTGAAGTTCTGCGCTCGAGGCTCTGTATGTGTTAGCAAGGAAATCTGTATCGATGAAGAGGAATGCTCTGGCTCTGTTGGAACACCTAAGAAGCGAGGGTTCTAAGAATATAAGTGACCTTCATGAGTGATTCCGCAGCATAGTGTGACCGAGTTGCATGTACCTCCATGAAGTGGCGCATCCCCACGTCAGTAGTCATCCTCGGAACTTTGCCAGATCCCTTCAGAAGATGACGTCTAGAGACCATTGCCTCTTCTGCAGTGTGTCGGATCACGAGAGTCTTCACTGACGGTAGTGATGTGATGAACGGAGCTATTAATCATAATTCATAGGGAATTACCAGTAATTGGTTTTGTCTGTCCGATACGGTGCGCTCGCTGGCAACAACTCTTTCAGTAATGATTGACAAACTTGATATTTTCTGACCTTTATGGCCTGTGCCTCGACATCTGGGTGCCAGACAGGCTCACAGAAGATAACTCGGGAAGCAGAGATCAAGTTCCTGGGATCTACTAGTGAACAACAAAAAGAAATACCAATGATAAATCACTCACAAACCACGAGCGCCGAGCTTCAACTCCATCAAGAAAACACGGAACGTATCAGATGACTCAAAAGTCATGACGCATTGCTCTCGCAGTGGCAGAGATACATCAGTTGTATATCGGAGGTACTTGATCTCGACCAAAGAAAGTGCCTCTGCGATATGGGCAAGAGTGAGTGGCGAATTAGAGAATATTAGGTATTTTTCCTTCTCTGAATGCTGCAGGACCTAGAAAGAAGGGTGAGAGGCGGGTGACACCAAATACTGTGTACTGACCTCGGATAAGATGAAGTTCAGCTTGGTGGATAGAGATGGTCCGACACATGTTCCTGACAACGGCGACGAGCTGAGTAAATGGGATTGCGAAGGCGCAATGTGATGCCTCAACTTGCGGCGAACGAAGTCGTCAATGTCTACTTCAGGTACCTCCTCTGCTTGATATACTTTGTCTTTCTCCTTTATGACCTCCAACTCGTCTTCAACCTCTGATACCATCTTCTTCATCTGCGCAGCGTTCGTAACATCATGCAATTGTGTAGATTTCTTCACGCATCGTGCTCGTTCACTCATGTCTAATGACTTGCCTTCCTCAACCAATCGATCGAGATTCATCAACGGTCGGCTGCGAATGAGAGCTCGTAGATCACATAGCCGGTTCGCATGCATGAGATCGTGAGTACGAGATCTGTCCTTCAACTTTCCCCGTGTCCAAGCTTCGAATACAGCTGCTTCCATCCCCGTAACGCGGAAAGGGACATCTTCATGTAGTTGCATGGCACGCCACAAAGGATCTTTCGCTGCTGCCTCTCTGCGAAAAATCACTAAGCCTTCAATATACAGTGACAAGGAGAGCAGACTGACGCATGTGCTAGTGCTTGTTCCAATAGCGCCATGTCATGATCAGGTACTTCGGCCGCGATAGCACGAGCCAGAAATTGGGGAGCCTCGTGACGTATTTGATCAACGTTAAACAAGATGTCGGACGCCGACCAGAACATCCCTCTGCGTTTGATCTTGATTAACCGTGATTAATTTGGTTGGGGTCAATAACATACTGTGACAAGTTGTCCATGGCATTCTGAAGATTTTTTGCATTCTAGTGTAAAATTTAAGTCAGCGTTCAAATCGTGCCTATGGACTTGCAAGTTTTTACCCTGGGGTGGAATATGTAATCCTGCAAGCAACATGAGTGAAAGTTCAGATACATGACCAGACACGCACCTGATCTTCGCGTTGAGAGTCAATGGCGTTAATCGCAATACTGGCTTGCATTGCATTGTAAGACTTCGCAGCGTAGGCATCAAGATCCATGTAAATGGGTGCATGCCGCATGGGTGGTAGAACGACTTCCTCCTCGATATCCTCAATCCTGGATAATATAAGCCTTGCACGATCTGTCACAATACATAATGCTGCTTACCTGTGACGAACCATGACCATCTCCATGACCTGACTCAGTACTTTGACTGCGCCTACACGAGGCCCACGACGATCGCAAAGGGGTGCAGATACGTAGCTACCGAACAGTTTGAGATCAGAATGGAACTGGGGAACTGCGAGGAAGTCGCTGATCATTGTCCCGAGTTTTCGCAAGTTGACGTAGTCATACGTCCCCCATACCCTGGCTAAGTTCTCCGTGCCGCCATCCGAAATCGAAGAGGTATCAGACGCAGAGCAATCCATCGTAGCAGGTATAGGTAACAAGTAGGAACTGTCAACCCCGATGTCATTTTCTGTGTCGTCATCCTGCTTACGCCCCAAGCTCAGCCCTAATATATTCGACGTCGGCGTTCCAGTCACAATCCATTTGCGTTCGATGCTTAACTGGCGAACGAAGTAATTTAATGTGGCGGCCATGTTCCCTGAGGTATGGCCTTCATCGATCACCAGCCTCTTCCAGCGAATTTGAAGGAGAGGCGACACAGCAGGGTCGCTGGGACAACGACAGTTTGGTACGCGGCTGCCAGGAAATGGAGTGCAAGTGCAGGGCTTGAGTTTGTGCAACTGAGCAACTTTGTTCTTCACCGACTCTCTGCGAAAACCTGAAGACAATAAGCACTGAAAAATGCATGAAGTGCCAAAACGCACGACTGTCCGTCATAAGGATCAGCTTGAATATTTACGAATCAGCAATGCAGTGTTGATGCGAAGACATTTCTACGTACATCATAATCAGACGCTAACACCCTCGCACTTGGTATTTGCGTTGTGTTTCGGACGACAAGATATCTCAACGTGCTTTGACAATGTTTCAAGATTTCCCTATCCCACTGTCCAAGCAGATTGATGGGCACAACAACGAGTGTTGCTGTCGTAAGGTGCATCACTCGGGGATATTCCGAGATTCGATCTCTTGTGCGAGAAGGGCCAAGAGCATACATGGGTGATTTGACAGGGTAGTGGTGATAAAATGGCGTGTTGGCTTGAAGGAGCTGCGAGAGGTTGGATGCCTCCAGTTGTTCTTCGTGTGATCGAATGTCCACCATGTCACCCCACGTCCTTATGCGGTGAAGAAGAAGTTCAACAAGAGATGGAACGCGTGTCGCATCAGATGCTAAACTTTTATGCACGCCAGCCCTTTTTCGAGCATTTCGGTACTCATCTGCGGGGAAGGTGCGATAGGCCAAAGGAGACATAACAGGGCGGTAGTCCAATAGAGATTCTTCTGGCTGAGATAGTTGATCGACAGTCGCAAGGATCAAGCCCAAGATCATCACCGTCTTTCCCGTGCCTGTGTGTGGCAATAGATAAGCCGAAGAGGTCAGAATGATCTGGCACTCACCTAGTTCTTCGCATAAAATCCCGCCCTTACAACGAGCAACTGTTGGACATTCACGCGAAACGGTAAGGGTTGGAGGCTGGAAGTAAAAGCGTTCGCCATCTATGCTTGAGATTGGAATGTATAAGGGGTCTTGAACAGGCTGCTTGCTCAGCTCCTTCTCGATCATCACGGCCACGGACTGTCTCTGGTACTCATACAAATCACTGCGAAGGCCCCTGATTTCTTGTCCTACATCAAACCTTGATGAGACCAATGATGGTAGGTCGCTATAGATCTCCGCCATCGTGCGATTATCCTGTAGGACGAAATATGCAGCATTGCAGCTATGAGAGATTACTCATATTTTAGGAAGTGCTTACAATATCCCTTGGCAAGAAATAAGTTTGAGGTTGACTGATTGGGGGGAGTTCATCTGCATTCCAGGAACGCTGGTCCTGCACAATCGAGGGTAGTAACGACTGCAGGTGGCGGTGACCCTCTTTCAAGACAGCTTCACTGCGATGTCGTAGGCTCGCTCGCACAATTGGCAAATCGGTGGGTACGAGATATATGCGGATATATAACACGCGTTGATTCGTTCCAAGGCAACAGGTAGCGCGCAGGAATTGATGTTCAGTCAGGAAAGAGATCTTGCAGAATACATCATCCTCTGCATAAACAGACAGCTGGCGTGTTGGTATTGGATGCCAGGTGTCACTTGCGTGTATATGAGCGCAGTGCAGATGACTGTCTTGAACATCTACACTGATAGTTCCCGCAGATAGCAGATTATCGAGGCCAAAGGGGTTTGATTTGTCGTGCTCGTTGCCCACACCATTTCCTACGCATGTCTGACAGCACAATAGACAAGACCTCTCTCTGTCCATACGTGCAGGCTGTCCTCAGCCAGAGGAGATGGTGACGGTCGAGTGGAACGATTGCTGCGAATTTGCTGTAGCCGCAGCGCCGGTGACGATAATTAATTTAGACTGTGACATAACTGTGGGAATAATATTCCATTTTTGTATTTGGCTGAAGGCTGGTTTTGAAAGGTAAACTTGAGGAAAACGGCACTAGTCCTGCAACTTTTTCATGATGTCAGTGCCTCTAGCAAGGCTCAGCTGCCACGAAGTGCGCCTTGCGCCGCGGACATGCCGTCGGGCAGTCTTGAACATCAGACAGAACTCAAACACAGCGGTCTCCGAGGCAGAACAGCGGAACTTGTCCTGGCCAGAATATCTGGAGATTCGCAAAAGTAAACGAAGATGGGAAATGGTGAGGCGCTCTAGTTGGAATTCATGTTCGTGCTTACTCATAAGTTATGAATGCATGATAGGCTGCTACCATTCCGGCATGCATTCTCGGGTTGATGGGAGGACTTGCGTACTTTGGTTCTCTGGAGTCGGACGCGACGAAGCCTATCATGGTGTGTAATAAGTTTCTATACGTTTGTACTTCTTTCTCATAGAACTAGGGTATAGATCCGCTGTTTTTCTACGGCGGTTGCACGGTCTCGTGCATGGGTATGATATTTCGTCTACGTGAAGGTGTCCTTAATTAATGCAGCCCAGGACTCGGATATCTCATCGGCCCCACTATTGGTGCTACTGGATGGCGAATGACTCATCGTCGCGCAATGAACCTCATAGAAGCCAAAGACCGCGAATTCCACCAACACATAGTGAAGAATCGCGTGGATCCCACAGCTCAAAGTGCCACGAACCCTGTGCCAGATTTCTATGGTAAGTACCGATGCTCGACTTGGGAATGTGAAACGTATCTTATACTCGCGGTGATATAGGAGAAAAAATTGGATCTCTCCACCAATATCGACAGGTGCGTGGCTTCCTCGCTTCTCCCACAATAAACTTACAATTTTATACAGTGGTTGCGTGACCAAGCTAGGTTTAGACGGAAAGCACGGTTTGCGGAGGAATGAGATGTTTATATCTTAAGACTGCTGAGTAGCTCTGCACTTACCCTTCACAATTAACTGTATCTTCGGCAAAACACATTTCGACAGTTGCTGACAATTTTACTGTGCTTCGCCCTCATCACCCAATTTCAATGAGCGTTACTGGTCTGTAAACGAGTCGTTGACCATCTAACGCAGCGTCATAAATTAAGGGTCACGTAAAAAGGAGTGGAATACGCATTAAGCCTAAGCGGAGAGGTTTCAGTTGTCTCCGAAAGACATTAAGAGTGGAATACCTAATACGTAGAACCAAAGCAACGCCAATGTAACTACTGGGCTGTAGTGGGATCCTGCAGATTCTGCAGTTGGCATCATAAGACGCATCCTCTATCCCGAGTCGTCAGGGTTGTGCAAAAGTTGCAGTACCTCAGACTTCTGAATCTCGTGCTCCCTTCTCTTTCGTCCAGAGGCCTCTAACCTGATATCCGCTCACGGAAAGGGCGTAGGGCTGGGGGGACGATGGAGAGGAAATGCTAATGGGGTGTTCAATATCACGAGCCCCGGGTGACTTTGGAGGAGCAGACTTGGGTCGGGGATCAGCAAAGGGATCTTGAGATAGTTTAGAGATGAGGGGTGGCGGTGGAGAACGCGAACGCTTGGGAGGGGGCGGCTTGGACTCTTTGGTACCTTCTCTTACAGGCTCAGGACCGCTAATCGAGCGAAACTGGGGTGTCCAGCCAACACCAGCAGGTGCGACGACAGTGTCAAGAGCCAGGGGAGCAGTTGCAGACGGTGCGAGCCATTTGTCTTTCTGTCTTTCTACGTCTCCCCCGTCAGCAGCATTAACAGCGTCCTTGGTAGATTTTCTTCTCCGCGCTCGTATACGCCAAAACGCGATGCCTGATAGATGTGAAACCTAGATGTCATTGCCCATAGAATACGACATACCGAGGATGATAAACCCAAGGATTGAAAGTGTGATGGCAAGGGTTTGGCTTGAAGCAGGGAGACTATTTGAAGTGGCTACAGGCGTGGTTGTCGCGGAAAGTGACTCAGGTCCCTCAGGGATGGCGGGTGAAGGTACGGGAGATGTGGAGGAAGCGCTAGCGCTAGAATCGCGCCGTTGCAGAAAACGGGCGATCCTGCGCCCTTCCCGCTGAACGAGACGCATAGAATTTGCCATGGAGAAGGCGTCGAAAGAAAAGAAGATGAAAGAAAGGGGAGTAAACTTTGGAGGAAAGATGAACAAGTTCCTTACGTTGTCTAAACCATGCAAGTCTATACATAATCAGTCCTTGACAACAATCATGCACTGCCGTCAAAGGACTCAGGGATGATCATCAGTACGCCTGTTAAAGCGCTTGAGAAATACTGTGTCAGTTTGTGTGAGAAGATATGGACCGAGGCTCGTGAGGGCTCGTGAGGTACTAACGTGAATTTGATTTCAACGCTCGATCGGAAAGCGGACCTGACGTCCAGCCTCGACACTACCGTGACGGCCTGCTACAGTTCGAAACCAACTGGAAACCTTGAACAAGTTATCAACGATAATCAACCCAAGTTGTTCCTGCAATAGATTTGATCAACATCATAATGATGTGGGTCTTGCATAGCCTCCTTGAATTAACGCCACACGATGTCGTACGCGGGGCTATGCACAACTGTCTTTTAGGTCTGTCTTAGGGCTGTGCCAAGAAGCCAAAGGGGTCTAACGCACCAATCCATGCCAGTCCATATGTGTTTCGGTCTCAATCAAAAGGACCTCGAAAGTTCGTGCCAAGTGCCTGGTTCCTGGACACTAACCTCCGCCTCACAGAGCAAACTGTGCAAGGCAAAAGAAATCGTCTCAGCGGGTACTTATTAATGGAACAATGTGATCAAGCGAAGAGATGATGAACCCCAGAAATCACTGAAGAGGACACTATAAATAATATTAATATAACTTGCTCGAGCTTACATTAATTCATCCAAGTCGACCATGTCTCATTGAAATTTCGAGCAATCAGATGCTAGTGTCACAATGGTGTACTGCCCTCGTTATATCTGGACGGACAAACAGAAAGATATACCGCGTATGCAAGAATGAAAGAATACAGTATCATTATCACAGGATTATCGAACATGCGGAGAGTCGGACACTAGATCAAATCCATTAGTCGATTCGACACAGCTCTGTGTAACGAGCGAAACTCGGCAGCACTTTTATCAGAATTTCCTCCGTGTCTTGAGGGGACAACGTCTTCGCAGCGTTGCTAGTGAGAGTACACCGCTAGTCCTCACCCACCAATACAAATAAAAATTTGTTCATTGTCGCAAGCATACCATCAATTTCCTACCACATGTGCGCAACTTCCTTCGTGGTCCAGACCAAAGGCCCCGTCTCGCAAATTGATATTACGCTTCTTCTCCGCTCTGTCCGATATGAGTATTTTGCACCTTGCTTGTGCGATGCCAGTGTCGCAAAGTCCGCTCTTTAACGCTGCATCTAGCACTGTCCAGTAGTATCTTAGAGATGATATCACTTGACGACGCCTAGAAGCTTACCTCGATCAGGATTCGGGGTCAGTTTGCTTGGAATTTTGCGGGGAGATAAACTCTGACATGGTCACACCCGATACGAGAAATTGATGTAGACATGCTGAAAAGCTGTCTTGGCCTTTTCAACCTCGACCAGAACGTCTTGCCAAGGCCCAAGGGTAAGAAATCGATGACGGAGACCTTCTGGTGGTCTGTCAATTCCGCATCCCCACTTCCCTTATAATGTAGATCCTGGATCGCGCCATTTGAGAGATGGCTGCGAATGTATGTACATGTCTTTGGCAAAAGAAGCGAAAGTCTGCTGGCCGACTCTCCGCTGTCGACTATTCCACCATCAACCTGCGTGCAAAGCGTCCGCCAGACTGGTGACCATCCCATGGAGTAGAATTGCTGCAACGTAAGACAGAAGGGGCTCCGATGGATAACCGGCGAAGGCCCATGACCTATCATAGGTCGTCGAGAAGCATATGCGCTGGTGACTAGCTGCTCCTTTTTCGAGCAGCATCAGGTTGACCAAAGCAAATGCCGAGATCGGATTTCTGAGACAGGATAGCGAGAGCCTGGTTCGTGTCCGTCGGGTCAAAGACTTTAAATTTTCAGAGCTTCTAGGTAGCCATGAAGTTCAAAATACCAGCCAGAATACGTGTTTCCACGAATGACTGGCACCTATTGAATGATGTGGTGGTCAATGAACATGTGTCCCTATGACGAATAAAATAACAAAGGAATGGTCATGAACCCGTCCAACTTAAGCTTGATGTGGGAGTCGAATGCAGAACATATAGGAACACCTGCACTGGCGCTTCAGCAGTGGCCGCGTCAAGGTTCGTTGGTGCCGCGTCAATGCCGCGTCACGACCGCGGCAGGCGCGGCACTGCGGACCGCGTCAAAATGGCCACGCCCGTGCACGACCGAATCCGTGACGATATGACAATTTCAAGTTAAACGTCCACCACTAATGGCAAGGTGGCAGAATTTTCAGCTCCTCAGGTGATCCATAAATACCTATTCTACGTCGCTTGTTTCTAACCTTTACACAATCTTGCAGATGATTCTCTGCGCATATACATAGCGGTAGTCAGCCAGCTTGTATACACGCCTTATGATACACATCTTGGTTGGCACCAGAATGTAGACCTCCTTATGTCTGATCCGTCAGTAGCCGCAACTCAGGCCTCAGGACCACTGATCTGAGGCTTATCTATGATGGAGCATACGTGTCACGTCCAGCGCTGATGGGCGTCAAGCCCTTCGGATATGAACCGATAGCAAGCTCGTCAATATTTCGTCCACTTTTGATCAACTTGTGATACACTTATCTTCAGACTTGTCCCTTCTAGCTCACCAAGGTGACCAAGCCGCTTCCCTACTGCACAGCCTCCATGAATCACCAAGAGCAAGTCATATCTGACATTACGCTTGAACACACACAGAAGGCATTGGATGATGCCATATCAGATTCAAATTCGACATCAGCTAGAAGGCTCGACAAGTTGGATCGAGCAGGTTTGTCATCGTCATTCCATCCTGACCACTTGGTGTGGTACTCAGTTTACCATGACCTCGATACACAGAGGAATTTGCCGCTCAGACAACTCAAGACGTTGGATCATTTCACGATTTCTACACCCAGAATGCCACAGTCATCAAGTCCGTATCTGATGTGATGGTCACGGACATCGCAAAGAAGAGCATGGGCGACTTTCTGGGAGAGGCGAAGAAGGTGATGGAAGCTCTGGATTCTCTCCAACAGATCCACCCGTTCATCAGTGGTGCGTTTCCCCCTTTTCGATGTTTCAACCTCAGCTAATGGATAACCTGCAGTTGCTATAGTCGCTTTCAAAGCTGTCGTGAATCTTGAACTAAGGCGAAGAGAGAATGATCGTAAAGTTGGGTTGTTGTTATCTCAGGCATCCGACATGATGATCATGCTTCTCCAGTTCGTCAGCGGATACCAATCCCGAACCTACTCTCACTGATTCAATTTGTTGGTAGACTTAAGAACACTGGAGACCCTGCCATCATGGGACCTCATGGTGAAATCAGGGGACGACTGCAACGTGTCATGGATGGGATCAGGCAAGATATCGAGGATTGCGGAAATGCCATTGACAAATACTACAAGTCGAAATTCATGGGTTAGTTCTCCCTAAGATTCTTGATTGTCTCATATTGAGAACCCCATTTTCAGTGAAATTCTTCAAATCATCCCAATGGGCGAACGAGTTCCTGAAAATTTGCAACAGCTTTTCCCAGCGCACGCAGGAGCTTCAGCTCGCCTTGAACATCAGGACGGCTGTGGGAGTTGACATTGCAATCGATAAGCTGGACAAGCTGATCCGCATGCTAAGCGAACGCGAAACAAAATTCGAGAAAGAAGTGCAAATGCGTGGTGGAAGAGAGAAATGTTTGGAAAGCAACGACAAATTACTAGAGCTACTGAAGATCGCCGAACAACGGGAAACACGTCCACAGAATAAAGTGTATGCCGATGTTCCCACCAAAGATATCAGCAAGCCTGTTTCCAAGATAACTTCTGCAAAAGGATCGGTTGCCGAGCAGCACCGTCTTGATGCCTCACTGCTCTACGAACTGCACACTCCTTTACGCAGCTTACTTGACGACAACCGCACACTCTTCATGTTCAAACTTGACACAATGACATCTGACATCAAGGATGCTATCAAGGATTCCGAAACGCGCATCATGTGGGCCTTCAACAGCAGATTTCGACGGGTCAAGGATTTGGTAAGGATCAGTAAACTCAACCTTATGCATTACTGACTCGGATGATTTCACCAGCACCTCCGATATATCTGGAAAGAGATGGTACGTCTTGCAGGCATAGCCATGTTACACGCATGCTTATCGTCACCCAGAAATGGGCAACAAGCGTTAAGACGCTATATTTCATCGCGGAACTGCATGACTATTACGTGAATCGTCTCTCCCGTCTCCGTCATGATGCCACAGGCCCACAAGTGACATCTGGTGCTTCATCTTTGGCGGTGCGAGTCCCATCCCCAACCCCTACTGCCTCTCTCATATCCGATTCAGAAGGAGAAGACCATGAGCATCCAGAAGTTGATCTTGAATACCACGAGCTTCCCGCAGTTGACCCTGCAGACAAGTGGTGCTTGAAATACTTGACTGTTTTCTATATTCCGAGTTTATCCGAAAGCTTCGACAGCGACGCAAATGGGTTGGTCAGCGTACGGGAGGTAAACACCTTTACGTCCACAGTACCTTCAGGTTGGAGTCTGCTACAAGCACTTGCGTACTCAGCAGCAGGTGAGGATTAGTATTTTCAGGTCGAGCCTACATCATTTACATCAGCTTAGGTTGGAGAGTGGATAATCAATATTACCACACACGAATTGAACAAGTCTTGAACAGTATGAATGGTGTACGAGGAGACGCACTTCCAGAAAATAGGATGTGCATCGCCACATATTTGAATTCGGATGCTATCGATGGCGTGTCACTCTGCTCACTATTTGATGGGGGTATTTAAGCCGGAGACAGGTATCAAACAGCTTGTGCGTTCTCTTGCAGGGCTTGGATCAGAGTATTCGGACTTGGATCTCGCACAACTGGCTACTCGGCGTCGCGAGGCTCAGGAGGAGACATTGACGAATAAACTCAATGTCGTCAAGTATGAAATAGACTCCAAAGAATCCATCAAACTTTTTGGATCTGGTCGTATTGAAAATGTGAGTTTTGTTTCAGTACTGATGCTGAATGTTCATATGAGTGCTGTTTAGTTCTTGCTGCCTTTGCTTTACCTCGTGATCAGGAGGCATTTACAAATCATGGAACTCGCCAGCACAGTGATTCTGGTCGAGAGAGAACTTGAGTCTGCAACTCAAACGATATTCAATATCTTGGAAGGGGTGTCTCTGCGTGTAAATCAACTGGCAGGTGCGTTTCTGAGCTGTGTCTTGGCGAATTATTTCCTTCCACCACCGCAGAATCATTTCGTCAACAAGGTAGCGATCCGAAAGTGAGATTCACTTGGTATGCGCATGGCTTGGTGCGTGGAGACAGCAGCTCTATATAGATTCTTGGGTCTTATAACTCGCAATAGTACAACTTTTGGTACAGTCCAGAACTCGCCACAGACGACACCGAATACTGGGAAACCCACGATTTCGGGAATGATGACACTGAATTGGAGATTGATTCTACAGCATTGAAGTTTGGTCCTTTCAGTCTGGAGGAGGACAACACGGTGTTGGAAAAACCTGTGATATTTATTGCATTTAATCCCGGTCAGCAGTCTGAGGACACCATGGAAGAATATATCCGTTTGTGGTGCATGAACGAGCTCCATAATACACGAACATTCTTCCCTTGTGAAATCCCGCCTTATCTATCGTCGAACGACAAAGAACGATTCAATATCCTGTCCAAAGAGCTGCCTTCATCTGATGTCAAACGCTGGAACTCATTGGCTGAGCTCCATGTGCGCAAACGATTGTTCAAGTAAGTCTAGCTTCTCTGAACTATCATTCTTTAACCATCTGATTCTCCGGTGTTCAGTTTTCAATGCGATGCATGCCATTATCTTGTCACTGATTTCCTTCACTATTGTTTAGACTGTGATTCCAGTGAGTGTGATGAGTGCACCCTCCCGTGCGAGACGACTGATGTTCTTGCACATAGATAACTATGGTGTATGTGTACAGTGCGAATCTCTGCCGGTTTCAGATCACAAATACCCATCCGACCACAAATCGACACACAACATGCTTATTTTCCGCATGTCGCCACCAACTTTTATATACGCACGAGCCAGGTCGTATGCCCGGAGCTTCTTATCCAATTTAATGCTCCCTGCGGCACCGCTCGAAGGATCATCGCAAGAAGACGAATGCCAAAAGCAACTCGAATCAGATGGGTCAGAACCTCCGCATTCGACAGAAGCAACTCAAGCGGACATGGCTTCTGCCTCTGTAGATCTGCGGGGAGATGATGAAAAGTCAAGCGGGAACTCGGTGATAGCCTCACTTACAACCGAAGACGCCCATACGTGTCTTGAATGCGGTGTTAAGCTGGACGTTTTGTATGTATGCCTTATCTGCGAAGGTGGGATTTCTACACATCTAAAGGAGTACGAAGTTTGATAGTCATCCCAGGAGATACCCCGATTACCTTGTGTGGCGATTGTGCATTCCGCGATGTATTCAACGTGGTCACACAGCACCACCCTTACAGACACCTGTTGGTCAAGATCAAAGACAAGGTGCCAGACGCAGATGGAACCTTAGACCAGCCTGTCGATGACTCGGACGATACAAGTGCTTTAGCATCCCTTTCCTTACGGGTCGACAATCTAGTTGCAACGGTGGACAATCTAGCTGCAACGGTGCAATCTCGCTTTGCTGAACAGGATCGGTGCCTTAGTGAACGGTTTACGCAGATTGAGCAGCTCGTGCATAGTTTAGTGGATTTGATGGGAAAAGTACAACTTTCCTCCGGGTCCGTAAATGGTTTGGCTGGCTCATAAATCAGGCTGTTGTGTTTAATTCTCGTATAGTCTTCCCAACCTTTATAGATCGACACCGACTTGCTATGACCGTCGTACATGTAAAATATATGACTATTGGCTTCCTTTCGTTGTGTGGACGAGTATGAAAGGTAATCAAAGTGGCACTGCGCGCAGGATCGAGGTAGGAACTTGGTCACAAATGGAACCATGTGATCAAGCGAAGAGATGAATGAAGCCGAGAGATCACTGAAGAGGACACATTAAATAATATAAATATAACTCGCTCAAGCTTACATTAGTTCATCCAAGTCGACCATATATCGAGCTACCAGATCAGGCTGGTGTGTACTGCACTCGTTATATATGGATGGACAAACGGAAAGATATAACTGCGTACGCAAGAATGCGACAATACAGCATTGTCATATATCACAGGATTATCGAACATGCGGAGAGTCGGACACTAGATCAAATCCACTAGTTGATTCGACACAGCTCTGTGTAACGAGCGAGCCCCCTCCGATGGAATATAACTCGGCAGCACTTCCATCACAATTTCCTCCACGTCTTGAGGGGACAGCGTCTTTGCAGCGTTGCTAGTGAGAGAGTACACCGCTTCAGCCGCAATTGCCATTTTTTCTTCCATGCTGAACGGAACAAAGGGCAACACGGTGGTAACGCGGGACAGAAGTGAAGCCTGAAAGAGACAGTATCGGGGAGTCTGTAAATGATTTGACCAAATCAACCACTTACACCAAGGCATTGCGAGACATGAGGTCTTGAAAGATTCATGAGATCTCGGTACTCCTCTCGAGTGACGGGTTTGCTGGGATCTTGCCGAGAATCTTGGTGCTCGAATACCAGGTCATGGCCTATATTGGATGTTCCAAGCCAGATCACCTTTGTGAGATCAACCTGTCGCTTTCCAGTTTCAAGGGAGCAGCGTCCTTATGTAAAGAGTAAAACATTGTCATGTTCAGAATGATTTATATACTCACCAAGTTCCCAAGGCATGAGAAGAGAGTACAACGCCTTTGGATCTTCTACTTTCTCGATCTCCTGAGGTGGAAGTGAGTCGATCTCGCGAAATGAAGCTGAGGGGGACGTACGTCTAGTACAACTACGCATCGCTCGCCTTCGTTGTTAAGCAGAAATTGGGCCAAAGTATCTGAGGAAGGTTCCTGTACGGAAATAACATCAAGGTGGATTCCATCAACAAGGAAAACACAACAAACCTCATACGGACTCATGGAGTACGATTGCCATAAATCATGTGTCGAGCGCAAAGTGGTCATATTCACAGTATGGGTGGGAATATCCAAGAGACTTCCAACTGCAAAAGAAAGAATAAGCTGAAGGGATGGCTCGTAAAGACGAGTGACGAACATTTGCGGGCCAGCAAGCTCTTCCCATGACCACTCGGACCTGGGGGAGGTATAGCAATGCACCTCGCACTTAGCTTGAGAACATACCACAAAGCAGAACCACGATGGGAGCCACCGACAGCCGTTGAGAGTGCATGCTCAACACCCTGAAGAGTTGCTCTAATACCCAATCTTGACCAATGAGATCATACCGAACTCTTGTGAGGGGCCGGAAGAATGAGCGATATATAAGCTGAGATGTTTGCCGAGTGTGTGTCGAATCGGCTCTGGTAACATAGTATCTAATAATCGAGTGAGCAAACGGTGATAAAAGGTCGAAAGGTGGAAAGACACTACACACCTCGTGGCAGGGTCCATTCCTTCCGGCATTGTTTCTCCAGGCTGTGAATGTGAGCCCGAAACACCCTCACCTCCCTCCGCTGAGGCTTGTGCAGATGGATTCAAATCTGGATTCCGCAACGCCGATGGATCTGCGCCATAAGCTAACAAGGCTTTAACAATCTCATTCTTGTGCGCCAGTTTGTCGTTGGTCAAAGTGAATGCCAGGGCGGACTGGGGACCAACTTGATCATTCGGCCCAGCTTCACCGCTCTCAAGCACCTGTCGCACTTCATTAACATCGTCACTCGCAATGGCAAACAAGAGAGTCGGCTTCGGCGTCGCTATGGCGTGAACTGGAGCTTCGAGGGCAGGCGAGAATCGTGGGGGAAGGCCGGAGACGGAACGACGAATCGTGCGGTTATATCCATCAATATCTTCTTCTTCTTCATCGTATGCCAAACTGAGAGTTGAGAGTCTCCGTGGGGAACAGTGAGACGACTCGCTAAAATCACGAGATCCTGTTCGGTAACGCGACAGGCGCCATGATGGAGCCTGTTGGACTGGTGCAGAGTGCAATTGGGACTCCCTCTGCCTAGAAGGAACCCGAGAGGAGGGAGCGGGGGTAAATACGAACGATGATGATGAACTATCGGGCGTGAGGGTATTGTGAATATGCTCGTGAATATGCTCGGGTATGCTTGATGAACATGGTGAAGGCAGCTGTCCGCAAAAAATCAGGCTGGAACCAATGGCAAAAACATACTAAGCTTACGCACCAGTGAATTATGCGATAGCGAAGTACTAGATGATACATTGGGCGAATGAGGTGAAGACGAGTTGAACATATGGTCTGTATTCAAGAACGCAATGAGCACTACAATCACCGAAAAAGGTATTTGAAGTGCTGACCGGATAATATATTAGACATGATAGACGAGGACGATGATACGGACGACCTCGGATTAAGCAAACTAGACTGAAGGCGAGCTTGAGTGATGATGTACAGGAATTGCTGTTACTTAGCAACTCACCAGCCTGAGAGGTTTTAATCCAGTATTAGATGCTTCTTGTTGCAGTTCAACAGGAGACAGAAGCCGGTTGGTCGATGGTGAGCTCGGTAGATGATAGTTGAGTGGCTGTGAGGCAGCTTTCCCTCTGGCAGCGTCACTCTCTCGTCTCGCTGCTAGATACAAGACAGGTGAAACGGAAGACGATGGGGGCTGGACACCCTGCAATGGCTTTCTGGCTGCAAACTACAGGGGCATCCATGAGTAACGCTCAGACAATGTCGCTTTAAAAGCCCACCTGGGGATTTACACGTCGGAAACCAAACGGTACCTTTTTGCTCCCTGCTTCCCGTGGTGGAAGATTAGATGTTACTGGAGCCGAGCCGGAGGGACTGTTTGCTGTAGATGAAATCCCGTCTGTATTGGAGGAGGAGAACCATTGCCTCGTATCGCGTCCATTCGAGAGGGATAAGATGAGTGGTAGACTCTGAGCGGTGGACGACGAAGATGGCTGAGCCTCAAAGGACGATGGAATGCGTATTGTGAGGTTCAGTGGAGCTTTATGCGTCGCAGAGGGCCCCGTTCTAACTAACACGGGCGAATGTTTATCTTCATGGTCGTGTGCTGTTGATTCGAAAACGGATGCCGGATGTAGATTCGGATATTGCCCCGTCTCAAGGGCTAGTTCTACAGCAGTAGTCCCAATACCTGACAACTCAGCGGGTTGTGCATCCACGCTTTGATCGTCAAGCGGTTGTAGGAAGTCCGCATGATTGTCTGACTTAGCGTCGACGGGGCTAGCCGGGATGAAGGCTACGGGTGATGGAGGAAAACAAAAAGCACTCGGAGACCGTAAATCAGGTTTCACGGTGGCATCCGAGATTGCTCGGTTCCTTTGCACGAATTCAACGGTCGACGGAGAATCTACGGAACCAAAAGTCGCAGCTGAGGAATTGTAGACATTGACAGTGCTAGTGTCAACTAGTGATTGGTCGTGAAGATCAGCTGTCTGGATATCCCGTTTCCCTTGAAGTAGAAATGCCTTTTTGCCATGGGTTGCAATAGCTTGTCCAGCAGGAGGCTCCAAGGTCGCTGGTAAATCAATCACGTCATCCAAGAGGCCCTCAGTGCTAGATTGGGTACGAAGCACATCGCTCTCGTCACGTTGAACAGAGCTAACACTCCCATCCTCCTCGACGGACAAGGCATTGTCCTCGCTACTCCAACGACGAAGGTTGACGGAAAAATCATTCAAGTGAGGGTTCCAAGATGTGCGCACGCCGGCCTCGTCGTGATCGAAGTCTGCATCGTCAGATAAGAACATCACAGGAGACATTGCAGACTCGCGCAATGCCTGCCGGACATCGGCATTCAGAGCATTATGCCACGAATCACGATGATCATTACTTCGGGCATTTGAGCCACTTCTGGTTGGGTCTAGAGCATCCCCTGCAGGGGCTGACATGTCATCGGAAAGAGAAAAGACATGCCCAATGTGGGCTAGAAGTTCGCAGGAGATCCTTGGTCGCTCGCCGGGGAGGGCGATGGACGACTCTCGGCCTTCCTTCGCGCCGCTTGCATAAACTTGATCCTCCTGGAGCCCATATCCGACGCCGTCTATATCATCATCATCCCATATAGACGAAATGGGGGACTGTGCGGATGCAAGACCATTCTGCGGTGGCGAAGAAGGCTGAGAGAAAACGGTCTCTTGAGTCATGTCGTCAGCCATGCAGTCGCATTCAACGGAGAGTATGGACGTATTCGGAGACGAGCGGCCAGACGGGAAAGGGCCTAATGATAACAACGACACCTTTGATGACAATTCTCCCTCCACAAACTCACTGTCATTCACAGATGAGGAAACCGAGCAGGGGGTAACGACGTCATCGGCTCTGCTAACGATATGAACAGCGTCGGAAGCAGCGGGTTCGGGTAGTGGAGAGGGAGGAAGACTGCAAAATTTCATGCCAACCAGCACTGCTTCCTGGGTCGGAAAAGTTCCTTTGACAGAGGACGGGCGAACCGTAGACGGAGAAAGCGGGGAGACTGACGGTTCTAGATGGCTGTCAGCATCGAAAAGCACTTGTCCGGTGCCATCCTCGGGCGCGGTATCACGCTGAAGTGATGATGCTTCTAAGGTGCTGTTATGAATGGGCGCAATATCGGAAATGGCAACGGACGGCTGTTCGGGAAATAATGATTCTGTTGGAGGACTTAAGGGAGGTGTTAACACCATCCCAGCGAGACGCACAGTGGGGGAGAGGGGCTCCTCGTCGAGATCAGACGAAAAATCATAGGCGTCCAAAATAGATAAAGTCGAGGATGCGTCATCGTCATGCTCTTCGGCCACCACTGGTTGGCGGGGGGAAGGTCGAACGGCGCGAACGTCATAGGACACGCGTCTATGTTGTAACGAAGATGTGGAAGGACGGCGAAAAGGAGTAGAATCGAATGCAATGCTATTGCGCGTGGAATGAGGTGGAGAACGCGCCAGCAGCGCCGGTCCCGTCCAGCTGTCGGCATAGCCCGAGTCGATAGAGTCTTCCCGCTTTGAGAGTAAATTGTAGTTGTACATTGAGAAGGGTCGCAAGCGTGCAGACAACTCGACAGGAGACAGAAGATTATTGCACGCTTCTTGTACTGAATCGTCCAAGGGCTCCTCCGTCAAGTCATGAGGAAGTGTAAGGAGCGACAAGACAGAGCTGGCAGTACTCATAGAACTTGAAGAGAACCTAAATGGCGGCGTGGGGAATCGCAAGACGGTCATTGAAGTGGATTGTGACTTGTCTTCTCCAACCTCTTCATGGTCCTGTTCTTGTCCCTCTTCCCCATCCTCGTCATCCACCACATACGAAGGAAATATGCCCCCAGCCTCCTTATAACCATGTGAGTCGATATCACGACATGTGAGGTTTTCCTCTATCTCCCCTACATCCTGAGGCGCTTCAATAACAGAAGAGTACTGAATATCACATAAATTTGAATCTTCCACTAACGTAGAAACGTCCATGAAAGACGTGTCCGTGGAGGTATTAACCATGGTGGTATCTGCTTGAGAATTCTGCAAAAAAATATCGTTCATGGCAACAGGTTGAGGTGCGAGTGTTTCACTGTTCTGGTGAGTGGTAGTTGGACCAATTACATCTTGAAGAACCGAAAGTAAACCAGAATAACGAGAAGTGTCATCCACCGGGCTGACAAGTTGGGAAAAGCGTGGACTCGCAGAGTTGACCACGACCGAAGGCAGATTAAAAACGGTCTTTGGAGGCAAAAACACGCGTGGCCTGACGGGCTGCGCGTCAACAAGCGACTGGTCGAGAGGACCCTTTACTTTGATATTGTGAAGGAAGTTGCACGAATCCGCGAACAGACACCGTCCTTGAGAGAAAAACGGACACGGCCGCGCTAGAACAAAAAATCAGAAAATACGCAGAAGGATAGAGACGGAGACCAACTTCTTTGGCGCCATGGAGGGTCCTGAACTGTCATTCCAGTGATTCATCGAATGACCTTGGACGCGGACGGTTACTAGTGGCACGGAGGAATATTTGCTTCCGTTCAATTGAACCAAGGCAGTTCCCCGCAACCATAATTGGTAATTTTTGAATTGCATCAGACCCCGGATACCACTTTCTCCTGCCAATGGCTGCTCGTCTTCCACAAGTCGCTCGCCTCATCCTCTTCACTGGCCCAAATTGTTCACTTTGCGACGTCAGTATTATCTTGTTTTTCTTTATAATACAAACTGATTCGTGCTAGGTTGCAAAGTTAGAGCTGGCAAAAGTCAAGCAGTCGGTACGTCTCACTCCAAAACTTAAAAGCGACATACATGTTGCTGATTTGAACGAATAGTATCAATTCGACTTGGAAATAGTCAACATACAGGATAAAGGCCAGGAAAAGTGGAAGAAGAAATACGTTTACTGGATTCCGGCGCTCCATCTGGATGGGAGGGAGATAGCGAAAGGTCGCTGGGACGCCTCCACCATACTCGAATCCATGAGGCAGCGGAATGCGGCACTGGAAGCTCGGGAGGAAGTTGTCTAGAGAGTAGTCCTTGCGGGTCCAATGCCGCCTCCAACTTTTACATCGATACTTTGGGGTCAGCTTGGCTGCAAGAATCGTCACCTCAGTTATGCTTTTATGACAGGCACGTCTCAAATATCCTAGGCGAGAATCAGATTCCATCCCCTCAACTCCTTGATGCTCGCTTTTGCTTCAACTGCGGCTCGTCTGATCACATCATTGGGTCCTGTCCTGAACCGCATAATCATCCCCTCATCTCACTTTCGCGACAACTCTTCAATTTTTTGCGCCCTGATGGGCAAACGAGGGAACCGGGCAGGTTTCATGTTGTTGAAGCTTGGAAGAAACAACGACTTGAATGGTTGGAGTTTTTTCAGCCTGGAAAGGTTGTTGGTCCCACCCTGCGCGAAGCTTTGGGCTTGCAGCATGGAGACTCAGGTCATCAGTGTGCATGGCTACGTAACATGTCACATTGGGGCTATCCTGTAGGATGGATAAGTGATACCGATCCAAGGGATGTCGTTCGCCGAAGGATTCTGGGAGATTTCCGCACTCTAGAACACGACAATGCTCTTGAGGATGCCGATGACTCTTTCCTCATAATTATTGATGAAGGGGACAGCGAGGTGATCGACCTAAGTCTTGCAACGTCTTTCCACCCCAAATCAGACAGGGGCGAAACCCCAGTTACCGATGACACATTGTCTACCAATTCTGACTTCGAATCTCGCTCATCGACACCCCGTAGGTGGGCAATATACCCAGAGACGTATTTCTCATCGCACCACCTTACTGTCTATAATGGAATGACATTGGGGTCATCGACCGTCGCGACTTCTTATTCCGGTAATACCTTTACTGCAGAAAGAAGAGCTCTTTGGGAGCAAATTGTATCCGGGACCCACACTGCGAAAGTACTTGTTCCCCCCTGGAGATTGCCTGGGGCATTTTCTTCGCTGCAATCGCACAATGAGAACCAACCACCTCCACCTCCACCCCGTTCCTCTCCCCCTCCACTGCCACCTTCTCCACCTCCATTTCCGACACCTTCTCCACCGCCTGCACGTCCTAAATACTTTTCACTCGCCACCGTCGCAGAGGATGACTCAGATAACAGCGACATGGACATGGATCTTTCAGATGACGAATCCCTCGTACTTCACAAATCATAGGAGTATCATATGAGTCAATAAACTCCGCGATGCTGCTCGTACCTCATGATATGAATTTGTCTTGCGTGACGAGAATATGACGAATGCTAAGGGACGTTAGGAGTGTCGGGGATCAACTTGTGAACCAAATCCACCATGTCCCGCACACTATGCATCACCGCCGCTGACGGCCAGATTGGCCACATGGTTACCGAACTGCTCCTTACCAGCGACCAGTTCAAACCGAAGATCAAGAAATTGGTTTGCGTCACCCTCCATCCCGAGAAATGCACAGATCTCGAAGAGATGGGCGCTAAAATCATCACTCATAAACACAGTGATCCCGCAGGGCTTGTGGAATCTCTCAAGGCATCTAGTGTCGACACCATATTCATGATCCCTCCTGCACATGCCCATAAGCTGAAGCTTTCACGAGATTTGCTCAAGGCTATCATAGCCGCTGGAATCAAAAACACAGTCTTGCTCAGTGCAGCTGGGACTGACCTCGCCGAGGAAAAGACCGAGCCCCACCTTCGCCAATTCACAAAGATCGAAACTGAATTGATGCATATGCGGTATAATGAGGGTATGGAGAAAGCAAGCTCTTGTATCATTCGGTAAGTGCTGCAGTACCTTTAAATTTCAAAGGGTCGCTTACTGTTGCAAAGCGCTGGGTATTACGCTGAAAACCTCTTGCTCTGTGAGAAGGACGTGATAAACAACGGAAGGCTTCGTCTGCCGATCGGTGACAAAAATTCATTCGCCCCTATCGCGCTTGGCGATGTTGTCAAGGTCGCGGCTCATATCCTGGTCAGTCAGGGCCCGAAAGGTTTGAGTGATCGATTCCGAGACCAGTTGATCACGCTTACGGGACCAGAGTATGCATATCTTCTTGAATTGCACAGTTCAACTTAATCACCTCATTTCACTCAGGACGTGCGACGGAGTTGAGTTGGCCGCTGCGGCTTCTCAAGAGGGAGTTAACATTGGATTCGCCGATATCTCTGAGTAAGCCTACGATATACGTTCCCGGCATTTGTTGAGCCGACAATTTTTCAGCACGGAGGCGAGACAGCTTCTTGATTCGGACACTGACGTCGACAACTATGAGAAACAATATCTTCTTGACTACTACTCGCTTGTGCGCGAGGGGAAGACGAACTATATCAGTACTCTTGATTTCGCGGTCATCACAGGGGAAGAACCTACGAGCCTCCCCGATTTTTTCAAAATGTATGGGTCGAAGTTCAAACCAAAGAAGTGAGCCGTATTCTGTTGAATTAACCCTACTCCCAGTCAAACATGTTCATCTTAGACGTCACACCGCCGCCGGTCAGTGAATGGAGTTGGCAAAGCACTTTTGAAAATTATCTAGTTCCAGCTTAATTGGTATCGTAGCTATTGGGTTATCTTTTTTTGTCATCGCACATGCGAGAATTGCGTGACATGCTTATATTTTGTGTACTAGCAGGTGCTTGAATATATGAATGTTAATAACATTCGATTGGACATCTGACTATAGACGTTTATACGACTCTACTTCAAGGTGTCTACTTGCAAATAGTTTATGACAATATAAAGGATTGGGATAACCTACTACTGCACTGATCCATAACCTGACACGCAGTTCTGCTTGGCAATGCTAGCAGAGCCACTACGGATGTAGCAGATCCTAGCAGGAATGCATGCGCCCGTGCATGGCGGACTGAGTATCGAGCCCTTTCCTTGGTATAAATTGAATTTCTGAGGATAGGTGAGACTCATCAGTTTAAAACATCCAGTCACGAACTTACCTGCACCAAAGTCGGGTCCGCTTCCATCTCTGAAACAACACATATAGCGACGGTGGCAGAGAAGAATCAACACACGCACGTTCAGTTACAAGATGCCACCAGGTCGCGTTCAGTGGGTCAGTTGCTCCCCAGGTAATGTTTCCTCCATATGCCTCACGAGTGCTATACTCGAACTCGAAAGTAGGGCCGAATTGAGTTTGCGAGTCTAGCGCAGGATAATCGTTGACGGAGCTCTTCCAGCTGCAAGTAGCTTGTAAGCAAAAGGCCAGCTGATGATAGCAATCCGGAGAAACAACTGACGTATAAGCATCGATCACTTCAAAAGTCTGCGTGCATGCGTAAGTTTAAATTAGTATAGAAATTGGTTGGAAACCTACAGCTGAGTCAACTTCATAAACACGGAACCCGGAGTTCAAGTTGGTGAGGGGCGTCACAGACGGCCCAGTCTGGAAGACGAATTAGATCGATCACCACAATAAAGCAGTCAAAGGACACACCCAGGATACCGTCTGAGCCGTCTCAGCACTCATATTTGTACCATTATTGGCATAGAAGATCTGTACCAGGAAAATATTTTAGCGTTCACCTTCTATGACATAGCATCGGCTCATACGGATAGCTGGTCCTCGTGCGTGTGACCCCAGAAGATGTCTGATTGTGACTCGTCAACTTTGTTCTAGCGTGATGGAGAAACAACATACTGGCAATAACATGAGGGGAAAAGCGATCGACACTGGACATGTTAGGTTCATGGGTCGATATCACTCTGGCTCTCAGTGTACTTACATCTGGTAAACTATTGCAGAAACTGCTCAGGGAATTGGACATTATTGAGGGGGTAAAACTCACAGAGATTTGTAGGATTCGGCAACGAATTTGAACCGTCCCAACCGCTGACGACGTGGCCAATGATCCAGACTGAGCATCGTCAGACCGATTGGAATGTAGTGTCATCCACCAACGCACCTCGGTCACCCGCATCTTCCGCATCCTGAAGTTCATCCGTAAGGAACCTCAGTATTCCGGAAACGTCTGGTTCGGACGAGTTAATGTAATTAAAGTAGTTGGACCTTTTGTACAGTTTAGATGATGGGGCATTCGACTATGCCCGGATCATCATTCACGTACCTGTACCCTGCAGACTAGTTTGTTAGCGCTCGTGTCAAGTAAAACATTGCGCCTCACATAAGTTGGTGTCCAAGCTGATCACTCTCAGGCCATCTGCACGCTTGACCATGTACGCTGCATAGTGAGCACGCGAAAACTCGACGGAAGCCTCCGGAAGCCATCCTTTCTGCTCCCACAGCGCCGTAACGTGGTCGTATAGCCTAATAAATGAAGTAATGTATAATATGGCGGCTTATGAGAGGAACTATACCAGCTGAACTGTGTGCCTAAAGCGCCTCCTAGTGAGGAAGGCGAAGCTAGATCTGGCAGACAGGTATCGTGGTTTCCAAGTGTAGCATATGTAGGGCCAGGTCCGAGCATGCGCTTGAACAGATCATAGAGGACGACCTGCCAGGATATTTGATATATAACGGTCCGATTTCAAAACACAGATATTACCTCAGAGTACTCGTTGTAAGCCCTTGGAGGGAAGTGAGAGAAGAAATCAGGAGTAAGTACGAAACGCGTACCTAGACTGCTGGTTTTCTGGGTCATGCGCCAACATATCGCCAGTGAACATAGTAAAGTCGAAGCCAGTTGATTCAGTTCCGGTCAACTGTGGAATGGCCTCCAGCACGGACGTGATCAATGAATACGGAGAATCGCTAAAAGGACATCAGACTGTATTCTTCCAGTAAAAGCAAGCTCTAACCAGTGGAACGAGCCGTATCGTGGTGCAGGAAGAAGAGGTGTCTGAGGGCTGAGGGAATTGTAAGCAGACTCGCGGCAACACAAACCACTGGTGCAATTTGCTTCTGCACCGTTCGCGTAACCTGGCAAAGGAAGGTCAGTTGATGTGAACGATGCATACATGCAGATGCCACGCACGGGGATCAATATGTAGGTCCGAAATATGCAGGACTTTCAGCAATTGGCCACTGGGCTGCTTCGGAGGGGGAAGGGGGTTGGGCTTTGGCTTGGCAAACCAGCCAGTGAGATTGAGAGTCGTTGCCACAGGTGCTGGACATAAACCAAGGAACTGAGAGCAAATCGACTGGGAAACATCATGAGGCACAAAACATTATTCCTTTTCAGGCGACTGGTTTACCTGTCCGTCATATCCTCCGACATCAGCGAAAGATAGAACTTGAGTAAGAATCGGTCCCGTGACGAGGGGTCCATAATTTTTCTCGCATGAGGATGAATAATTGAAGTACTCGCAAAGCGTCAGAGCCAGATTAGTCCCTTGTTCAGGAGCTGCGAGAGCAAGAAACTTGGCCACTTCTAAGGAGGCTTGGCACTGTGCACATTTACTAAACATTGGATTCGCTGCAATAGACTTGATCTGCGCTACTGCTTGTTGAAGAAGCTTTTGGGAGGATGCCTTGGGCGGAAGCAGTTGGGGATTCGCGGTGTCATACTGTCAAAGCCAGAATATCAATACGATTAAACCGATGCAGCGCACACCGAGATTACCTGGGGAATGTTATCCGGGTCTGTCAGGGAAAGTGGAAAGATTTCATGCTGAAGAACGAGTTACTTTCAGTTATGTGACACTTGTATAGAGATTTACCGTAACAGGATCTGAAATGACTGGCTGAGGCTGCGCAGAGGTGGCCGTTGGATCATTGTAGTAATGAGAGTAGAGAGAGGTTGGGAATGCTCCTGGGACCGTATATGCAGAGGGAACAGTACTAGTACTAGTGGTACTTGTATCCGGTGCAGCCAGGACAGATCCACTGCAAGCCAAAGTGGCTAAACCTAATAAATACCTGATTTTAACAGACATTCCTAGCCTCGTGAAGCTTTTCACCCAGGAAAACGAACTGCACGAGTCGGAGGGCTTCGCGCACAAGTAGGACGTCCGACGAAATCCCGCCAAGTTTTCATTATAAGGCGCTAAAAATGATGAAGCTAGTGATCAGATGACCGTTATGTCCCTAGCTAGGTTTAGCCCCGCTCGGATATTGGTTGCCACGAACGTACGAACGCCACGTTGGTCGGTTGCGTAGTGCTAAATCAGGAAGAATCGAAACCTAATTCGAGGACGTATCAGCATATACTTTTTCTTTTCCGTACTGCCAGTCTATCCTGCTTTGATCCTGCTCAGGTCGTAGCACTGGAGATAAGAAAGCCTAGTGAACGTCTGCGATGAGCTGAACAGGAAACGAAGAATCGCGGCGCGGCATCTGTCAGGCTTAGTCTTCCTTGGCGCCCAAAGCCGTAATAATGAGGTCGCCTGCTTCTCGCCCAACACCGACCTCAGCAAGATCCCGGGGAAGACATCGCCTTATTGTTCGGTGTCCTCGGCGTCCACCTGTGATCTATGGCCAGGAGAAGCAAGGCACGCTTGAGGCGGCTCCTACAGGCTACAACAGGTCAGTCGTGCATCATTACTGGGTCATATGAGTTCAACAGCTTGTCTTGCAGCCGATATCACATTGTACGACTACCTGAGCGCTTCAAGTCTCGTGCACCGCCTGCTGCATCTGCCTTGAAAATCGTATTCGTTATAGGAGTTGTCAGAAAACCTGGTCAAAACCGAGAAACAAATGTCATGTATGAAATAAGACAGAAGGGCTTCACGAACTCGGCAGATCTCCTCCCACCCGCGGAACTGCGATTTCCTGGAGGCTTGAGCCACTTGAATCTGCAGATAGCATACGCAGAGCATAAAAGATTGATCCGTGTCGTGCCGTGCCCTCGCATCACTTTTTCCGTGGGGTTTCCTCAGAAAGGGAGCTCTTACTCACTCGTGTTGCGATTGATTTCCATGGACAGCCATTCGGCGCAGTAGTGTGATGGAGAATAGGATCATGATATTCACGTTAAACATTCACAACGTGAATACATCAGACACTGGGGATATTTGAAATTTCGTCTAGCGTATACGGACAATGATTTGTACAGTATCTTGGCCCGCCCTTTCATCTTCTGGACTCCTGACTTATAATGTCGCCTAAATATTCTTAGTTGGGAATTGGTTGCGCTCATCATACACAATATCCTTCAATTAGTAGCTCTTCGTCCTGAAATATGTATGTCAATGACGACTAAAGTTCGTTCTTCGACTCGGAAATTCGACTCACCTCACAATTCTGACATCTAGCATCCAAGCAAGCCGTTCACATAAACACCTCATAATCCGAACATTATTCATGGTCCACGCAATTCTAGCAATGAACACGGTTACAAATTTTTTCACTACAGGATTTATCATGCTCGTCAAGGCAGTCTGCGCAGATTTTGCCGCAGCAGTCTTTGCACTTCGCTACGAGGGTCACGCCTTTGTTTGTGATTGACCCCCCGTCTTCTTCCATGCAATCACGGCATAGTGTTGCCCTCTTGCAGTCAATACATGTGCTGATGTATTTGCAACGGCCAATGAAACAATAAAATGCCTGACATCCTGGACAGCGTCCGCCGCTCTCCAGAATTGATTTTGGAGCACACATGCCACAAACCCATACCTCTGTGCAGAGGCAGGCTATGGGACTCCGAGTCCCCATCAATCCGATGCAATCAGGACAAATGACGCTGTAATAAGAAGGTGACTTAGACCAGCAGTCACCTTCATCGCAAATATCCCAGAACTGGACAGAGGATGAGTGAAAGCAAGTACGACATGAGAGAATTTTGGGAGCATGCGCCTGGGTAAGTTTATCCGAGGGGTTGTGTAGTCCAATGCACACCATCGTGCACTCTGTGCAATGCCAGCCCCGGCAGTGGGAACATTGTATTTGCGAATTCGAGTGCTTATCTGCGAAGCATGTAGCGCAGTAGACAGGAATGTGCTGCCGGTGGCACCATACCACAGGGACGAGGACGGCACCTACACACTGCAGCTGATCCTTATCGGATTTGCAGCGATCACGATTGTTACCGCAGGTGATGATAAAACAATCATGGCATGCGATGAGACGTGACGAACACATCGGGCAACGAGGATCCCTGTATGACGTGGATAGTAGTGAATTGAGTTCTTGACTTGCTTGTGACTGGGGTATCAAATTGTGATCAACGAGTCGCTGGTAAAATTCCTGCAAAATAGTGTCATGATGTGATGGGCCTTGAATGCTAGGTTGTGCGCACCCGGACACCATTTTCATATGAAGAGACACTGCTCATATTGAATCTGACCGTCCTACAAGGAAGAGGGCGCCAGTGCGAGGTTTTCGTCTTTGACTTGTGTTCGCGTGTTCGCCGTTCACGTGTACTGAGTGCTCGAGCTGTGCGGCGCTACAGGTTGTCCCGGGGGAGCACAAGAGACGACTTTAAGCACGATCCACTCCTGTTACCACGCCACCTTCGATAGTGTGCCTGACTATGTTGCTAACTTCTTTGTTTTCTTGCATCGTTATACTTTGATTGTGTTGCTCTATTTTTCCTTTGAGCGTAGCGTATAATGGCCAAATATCACAGCCGCCATGTCGTGGTTTGGTCCAAGCACATGTCTGTGTTACGCGATTCGCTTGGAAGGTTCCCTGAATCCTTGAGCATTGGTGCCGGATCATTCGGAGTCTCATTGACGAGCTTTGTGATTTGTTCTTTCGCCTCAAATTTTTCAGCGTGGTGGAGAATTATAATACTATAGTGTAAGCATCAGATACATACATGGCTTCTGTTCAGAACATGGACGCCAGGGTGGTGCATGTATCGTAGGATATCATATTGATATATCAATTGTTCCGGTGTCTGTGATAACGCTTATAAGCATACGCTGATTCAGAATCACGACGGGCAAACAAACCGTCTAAAATACCTATACAAACAAGAGTCTCTTCCCGTCGACTACGACTCCTACATTTGCCTTTCCATTCCCGTGTTCCTCGAAGAAGATATTGTTTTTGGGTATCGGTTGCCCTCATTGTGTGGTGCATAATTCCTAGCTTTTTAATGGAGTAATATGTCAATGATAACCAAAATCCGTCGTTTGAAAATCGACATACCTCAGGAGTCACACTGCTGACACCCAGCTTCCGTCTGGCAGGTCAGGCAGATGAGAGCCCCACAATCTGAACACTCGTCATTGTCCGTGCAATCCTGGCAATGAACACTTTCACAAGATTCACAACAGGATTCACGCTCCAAGCAGTCCGCGCAAATTTTGCTCTGGCATTCTTCGCACGTCGCCACGAGGGATGTGCCCTTCTTTGCGGTTGAAATCCCTTCCACGTCAGAAATGTCTTCTTCCACGCAGTCGTTGCATAGCGTCAGCTTGTGGCAGTCTGCGCATGCATCGATGTATCTGCACCTGAAGAAACAAAAAAAATTCTGACATTTTGGACAGCGTCCACATTTGTTCAGAATTTTCTTCTGAGTGGCACACGCGCCACAAACCCAGATCTCTCCGCAGGAGCAGACTATGTGACCGTCCAAGGGTCTGACGCAATCGGGACAGATTGTACCACCATTAAAATGTGCACGAGACTGACAGTCGTGCTCGTTGCACTTCTTCATCGCAACGGTTGAAAAGCACGAACGACATGAAGACAGACATTTAACGAGGTTGGCAGCTGTACACCAACTGTTACCGCAGGTGACACTAGAACAACCAGGGCACGCAGCGAGACGATGTGAGCAGATCGGACAACGAGGATAGTCTGGCGTGGATGGTGAGATGACCGAGTCTTCGAGTGCTTTTGCGTGTGAGAAGGATATCAAGCTGTGATCGACGAGTCGCTGGCAGTATTTCTGTGAATAGCGTTACTTGAATGTGAAGTGCCTTGAACATTGTGCTACGTGGTGCGCACCTGGACACCGACCCCAGAGAGACGATCATTCATTGTTGACCCACGTTCGTCCTCGGGCGCCGAGAACCCGCATTTTCGTGTTCACGTGCGCTCATGCCGGTGACCAACTGTCCAACCGGTACTATGCCAGCCAGTAAAACAGACTTGTTGGCTGCTTGGATATCATGAAAGTTATAATGCAGATCTTGAATAATTAGTAGTCAGAGCTGCGAAGAGAGTTACTACAATGTTGATTGCAGTAAGTACTGTCGTAGTATCGAGTGCAAAGAACTCTAGTCCAACTTGCCAAGTTACCGTAAAGTGCGTGGAGTACTAGTCTCCCCTAGCCAGACCATATAGAAGGAAGACAGTCGTTCCTTCTTGATTATGGTCTGCTTTCGTTGGCGCCATCGATACCGTAGTACACTTGGGTTGCCTTATTTGGTATGCAAAAAAACTTGCCGGATTGTTCGGCAACGACTGTCAGAGCGGAGACTGATTATATTGCAAATTGCCTTTCAGCGTGTCCCAGTCGCGTCGCGTCGCGTCTCAAGATTACATTAATTATCGTTGAATCTGCAGCGAGGTCTGTTTTATTATGGCCAGCTGTACCACTCCACTTACGAAGAGTGCTCGCATCAACCGACAGACTAGCTCACTTCAATTTCTAGTACCGTCTACACCTGAATCATACCCTAGGTCTGCACCAGCCAATCCCTACCACTTCCCTTCCCCTTCACGTGTTGCCGCACCACAGACACCCACCCCACTCAAAAGGTCGTTGCCGTCCGACGAAAACTCTGTTCCTCAATTCATTCTCCACTCATCGAGTGCGAAGAAGGCACGCACAAATGCAACCAGTGTCCCCGAAACCAATGGCAGCAAGCTCGCCTATATACTCTGTGCAATCGAGCACGTAAACTGGACGCTTGCGGAGTTCCTATACCATGCCTTTCGCCCTCCTGTAAAGGGGGATAAATCCACTTCTCGAACGTCTTCGCATGCTGCTTATGTCCAGCATTTCCTTCGTGGTCGCACCAAGTATACTCCTGCCGACATTGTTCACGCGTGGTTTCACTCGCCAGATGGCATCCTTAGCGACAACGACCCCGAACTCAATTTAATGTTCGTGACAACTCCTCCCTATACTGATCTCAAAGGAGTCCGTCCCGCACTCTCCTCGTTTGCAGCTCAGACTGTGAAGCAAAAGCTTGTCGCAGACATCAAGCACGCTGTCAGGCCCGGAAACGGCCTTCACGTCTCATTCGCCCCCTCGGAATCTCGTCAATCTTCAGACTGGGATGACGTTGGGAGCATGACCGTTACCAAAATTGAAGAGACACTTCGCAAGGAACAACCCCTTGCAATGGCACTTCTAGAAGCCATTGCTACTGGCCCGCAACGCAAGCGCCGAGGCAAAGACACTCAGCGTCGTATTCGCCCTGTCCGACTCGTGAGTTTCAAACAGTTTCACCATCGTGAGGCATACTGATTTTCGTGCTGCAGGTTTGTACACATGCACTGTCTTCCCTAGCATTCTGTCATTCTACTCATGCCCAGGCCCTGCCAATGGCCCGTGGAATCCATGAATTTGCATTATCCATTCCGTACGATCTTTTCGTGTACAACAGCCGCATTGGCACCTCTCCGTCATATAGTGCCATTTATAGAGCGCTTCAGATGCTTTCTGTTCGAGAAGCTGATGAAACCCGCTTGCTCGGTCAACATTTGACAAAACGAGGTGTTCTTGTGATCGACAACGTCCAGAATTACCTAAGGCAGCGTGATTCTCGTATCGGTCGCTCTAACACCATGAACATTGGTCTCGCTGGTACCTACATTGAATTGGAGGATATTGACATTCTCGCCTTTGACATGTCCGCCAAGAGCCGTCTCTTGGACGAGAACAAGCGAACGTCTGCTAAAGTGGAAGACTATCTTGATGCCATTGACCAGTCTCACCTCGACACCGTGCTCACACTCCACTGGCTCCAGGTGCTCACGAAATATGTTCCAGAGTTCTCGTCGTACCAGGAACATGTCTCCATACTCTTCCGCACACGAGGTGCCAAACTCCAGCTTCCCATTCGACCCAATAAAATCCACCCACTCGCAACCAGCAGCAAGAACGAAACTGTGACGACGGAGTTAAAGGATGCCCTGCATGGTATCTTTTGTTTGCATGGTATCTTTTGTTGTTTCAGTGGTGTTGCCTTGGCTGACTATTCGCTTTGCTGTCTGAACAGCATCCTTCGACACATAAACAATGCCTCGCGCATCTGCAAAGTTTCGTTTGCGATTGGCTCGCCCAAAGTTCTGAAGCAACTCGTCACTTGTAGCAGGTTGAGGGAAGACAACGACACATCCAATATTTGGAGGGTCGACTCCGTTGGTGAGGGCTGCAGTCGAAACGATGATGCGAGGGGTTGCGGATGAGTCGTCACGTAAGTAATCCAATGTTTTGTTGTTATGGTTGGTGAAGTTGGCTGAGTTGTACAGACAGATGTACTCGTGCCTGCCTGGTGTCTTTGTGGCCTGTTCAAGCAGGTAGGCGTGCACACGGAATGCCATATGGACAGTAGGTACGAAGATGAGAGAGTTATTGGTGCAATCGAGGATCCACCGGAGCTCTGGGAACTGAGTTCCACTGATGCCCGACTTGGCTATGCGGAAGATAATGCGTACATCACTCCTCAAATTTGACCGCCGTACGACATGGTAATGTCCCCTACGAAAGCCCAAGAATCCAAGGACCTCTGCCTCTGATTTTTTTTGCAGCGTGGCAGTTACAGCAAGCACCGGAATGTGCCGTCCTGCACGAGAGCGCATCCAGCCTATCTTTTTGTATGATGGCCGGATAGATAAACCCCAGAGGTCAATAAGGTGAGCCTCGTCAACAACCATGACACATAAGCGTGCCGCAAATGCCTTGTTATCCACAACTGACCGGAAACCCGATGATTCGAGCTGCTCTGGAGACAGCAGAATAATCGCAGTCCCTTCACAGACCTTTTTGAATAGGCTGGAATTATCGTTGCTTGCTTTGCGTGCTGCAGCGACAGTGTCTTGGTTAATGACGACGTTCGTGAGTTTAGCTTGGGTCATTTTTTCCGCCTATTGATTGCATTAACATTGATTCTCGACGGACATAAATCACTGTGCAGAAACGTACCAAGTCATACTCAAGTGCTTTTGTCGGGCATATTGCAAGCATTGCAGGATCAGGGGGGAAGTTTTTGCCAGGTGCGAGTGATGGGTTTTTGGACAGCGCTATAATGACGTGCATGAGTCGAATAAAGGCGTCTGTCTTCCCGGATCCTGTAGCCGTCGTGCATAGGACATCCTCGCCATCCAGCATGTGCGTTATGACTTCGAGCTGGTAGTCATGAGTGTCAAATGGCATAGTCTCTTGGAGTAGTTTCCGACAGAGAGCACGTCCTTCATCTGAACAGAAGACAAATGCCCCCATATCACGGTCATAGAATAGATTAAGTCTTACACTATGTTCAAATCTACAGGCTATCTGACATGTTTCGGCTGTTCGGCATGGTCGCACTGAGTTTGATTTGTTTGACATTTGCGAAGCGACGTGTCTAAAACAGGAAATCGAGTGTACTACGGTATCGATGGCGCCAACAGATGCAGACTAGTGGAGTACGTAACAATTAAGTTTTTCGCAAAGCATCAAGCCTCGTCTTGGCTCAACAAAGCCCACCATCATATATGACTTATGCTAGATCTTTCTTGCCAGAATGCGACCAGGCAGCCAGATACACAATAATGTTGTGCTACATGCATTATCACAGTCAATCTCATGCAACACTCGCAATTGCCTTGCTGAAAGAGTTCAAGAAAGGAATCGATGTTCGGTCTTCAGCAGAGGCTGAGCAACTCTTTCGTGCGTCGTGGCCTGTCTCACTACAAAGCATGCAGCTCTGGAAAAATCGTCATTTTCTCTTTTCATCGCATATTTCAGGAGCCTCCAGACACCTCTTTGACAGCGATCTGCCACCTCCTTTGTTTGTTTCACCCAGCTCCGAATCCTGCAGCTCGTTTTTTTATGATCCCTGCTCGTTTTGCTTCTGGTGCTTCTGGCGCGGCCAGCACGAGCGGGTACGACTACAAGAGTCAGGATGGCACGACAGAAACCGACGACGTGAAGAGCAGGTGTGCAGGGACATAATCCGAGTCAGGCTTGACTGCGTTCTAAATGACGCGAGCTATTCCGCCGTCGCAGATTCTATGCGCGTACTATGTACGGCTGCGCAAGCTGGTAAGTGGGACTGGGGCGTGGCTATTTTGACGCGGTCCTGCCGCGCCTGCCGCGGTCGTGACGCGGCTGTGACGCGGCGTGACGCGCAATTGACGCGACCTGACGCACCATTGACGCGGCACTAATGCAACAAATGACGAACGAACCTTGACGCGGCCGAGTGAAGTTGGTCACCTGGGCCAGATTTGGGACGTTGAGAGTTGGATGGACGATCTGGACCACGACGTTGAATTGCTCGAGGACTAGGACTTCGCGCAGGTCGGCGTGGGTTAGATTTTGAGCCTTGGGGAAGATCGAATAGCTCCTGTGAATGGTGTCTCATGGGTCGAGGGAGGGATGAAGCATTCGAGGCGGAGAGTGCAGCAGCACCAGTTCTATGTGTGATGGGACCCGTTGGTGGAGAGGCTGGAAGAAAGGCTATTAGATTACCTACTATACTTATCAACTTCAGGATTTCATAGAGCGTTAGTCGAACAGCGCACCTGTGCGGTCATAGCAGGGAATGAGGTTCCCAATGCCCGGCGCAGAATAGTCTTGATTGCCTATGGTGAAGGGTTGACGCGGCATGACAGGTGTTGACGCGGCATGATAGGTGTGACGCGGCATGTATGAGTTTCGACGCGGCGTGACGCGGATGTGACGCGGCATGGATGAGTGTTGACGAGGCATTGACGCGGCACTGCTATGGTTGACGCGGCACTGACGCGGCATGGGCTATGGTTGACGCGGCATGAAATGGGCGTTGACGCGGCACAGGTAAGAGTGAAGGTTGACATGAGTGAAGATGATTGGGAAAACCTGTCGTTGTATGAGCAGTGCTTGACCCAGCCTGAACGAGGCTTGAGATGACATGGTCGGGGCTTAACATGGTAGTACGTGAGTATAGAGACTGTATTAGACTTGACAAGGTGAGGTCGAGGCTTGACACTTACTAGTAGCGAGACTTGACAATGTGAGGTTGAGGCTTGACACTTAGCGAGACAACACTTGATCTCACTGTGTCTGATGTAAACCAACATTAGGTCAATGAATTAGAGACGATACAAGACGAATTATGGTACTAAGATGGCACTGTGTGACACTAGTAGAGAAGCGCTGTAAATATGGTGAGAAGTGAATAACACAGTCTAGGGCCTGTACGCAGACGGACACTCACATGCTGATCATTAAAGAGGATATTCAAAGTGCTTGGAACTTGTTGGAATTCAGTTCGAGCGACATAAGATGTTGTTTGAACATGAGCGTGCCGCGTCACATATGCCGCGTCACAGGCGCGTCACGACCGCGGCAGGCGCGGCAGGACCGCGTCAATTTCACCTGGCCCGTGGGACTGGTCCGTGGTCGGTGACGCCACGGTCTGCTAAGCTGTCTAGCTCCCTTGCACTTCTTGTCGCATCTTGGCAGCCTGTCAGTATCTTCAGGACATCCCTTTTCTTCACAGCGAGCTGGTGGTTATCGTGCGACAGCCTTCTCGTTGCGTGTGCGAATGCTACGGTACATCCGTCTGTCTGCATCGCGGTCCGCGTACACGGTGATTGACTTTAAGTACTTGATGCTTATGCTAGGAATAAATCAGGATATGCAATACACCATGTTTTTGTACTTCGCGCCAGCCTATAGATGACTTGTTAATATACTAGGTTGACCATCCGATGAGAAAGTCATGACTGGGGTCTGAACTTCAATGAATGCTACGTATGTGGCAGGCGTCTATCAAGAGCAACATAAGCATCTTCAACTTCATGCAGTAGTAATCTCCATTTCAAAGAAAAGGCTGTGAAGGGACCTTTTAGCGGGTGCGGGAAGAAGCAGTACTTGTTTGTTGAGTGCGCGAAATACACGGGAAGCACCTTGCTAGAAGCACAAAGCAGCTAATGTCTGGAACGTGTTCAACGTCCAGCGGGGAAGGGGGTCTGTTCGTTGCAGCAGAAGCACCGGTGCTTCCAGTCTGCAAGGTTGCTGGGGTAGTTCCCTCGGTCGCATCGGATGTGCCCAATGGGGGTGTGTTGCTGCTTGAAGCATCAGCGTTCGTTACACCAATGCTGGAAGTGTGGGCTTGCTGGGGAGGGGGACGTGGTCGCTGCACTACATGCCTTTTCCCGCTGATGGCATTAGCGGTCCGCTGGGGGGATGACGTCAAAACAGGATCATGGATTGCCACAACTCAGAAAACTTACATATTTGCCTCGGGTTGCGAAGACATCCACAGCGGGGATTTTGCTGGGGAGGGGAATATCACCCTGAGGAGCGGAGGAGCGAGAAAAGAGACGGATCATCATGTTCTTCACTCGTGAGCCTTCGGCATGGCGCGTGATTGTAGCGGTGCGGCTGTTGTGTCCAGGTGGGGAACGTGTATCAAACTGCAGAAGGATGATGAGTTGTGCATTAGAACTAGTGTGTCATATGGACTATGACTAACATCAGCGAAGAACCTAGGTGGGATGCCAGCGCGTTGTGGGCGAGGCTTCGGGCCTTGGATGGTCTTCTGCAGGACTAAAGTTAGGGATTGTGCCAACCAACAAGCATGAAAGCGTACTTTGAGAATTTTCTGTGAGGATTGCATGACAAGTCAGCATGAAACATGACATGAAGAGATTATTTGCTCGCCTGCTCTGATTCACCCTGAGGAACGGCCCATGTGCGAACGAGGTTGTCGTTACAGCCAGTCGCGATGAGCTGGCTGTCCTCGGAAAAGGCCACACAACGGACGGCATCAGGGTGCTCGAGTGGCTCGCCGATGGGTTCGAATGTGGTCAGGTCAAAGAACCGCGTCGTTTTGTCGTGCGATGTGGTGGCGAATTTGGTGCCATTGGGAGCAATGGCTAGTGACCAAAAGAAACCGATGTGCGCGTCAAACTGGTTGATGATGTCTCCAGTGGCAGCATCTGAGATTCGGAAGTCGTTGTGATTTCCACTGACGAGACGGAGACCATCTGGAGTGAATGCGACTTGCCAAGCCCGCTGTTCTATTTTGAGTAGTTCTTCTCCATTTCCTGAATTCCAAACGATGATGTGTTTTTCTGTGCCTGCTGCTAGTTTGCTTCCATTGGGGGAGTATGCCACCGAGTTTGCCTCACTGCCCACTCGGAGTGGTCCGAGGACTATTTTGCCCGTCTTCCTCTTCCACACGCATACTGTTTCGTCCGATGACGCACTTGCAAATGTCTCGTTGTCCAGTGCAAATACGACGCCCAAAACAGAATTCTCATGCCCCTTGAACGAGACTGGCACTCTCTTGTTTGTCTCAACTTCCCAGACCAGGATGCTTCCGTTCACTCCTCCACTCACAATCCAACGCCCGTCGGAGGATGCTGCAACCGTCCAAACTTCATCGTGACCCAACAGTGGCTCTCCCACTTGTTTCCCCGTGTCCAAATCCCACACCCGAAGACTTTTGTCATCAGAGCAAGTGACGAGGAGACGTGTACCAGGGATGAAAGCTACGCCGCTCACCCATTCTTCATGACCCTTGAGCGTCATTTCGACATAAGGTGGTTCCTTTCGAATTGACGCTGCTCCGTGAGTGGTAGCCGCCATTGGATCTTGTTCAGCAATTCAGTCAGCGAGAGAATTGAGGAGGGAGCAGTCACTTACATGTGCTATGGTGGGTAGTCGCTAAGTTGCATCTTCTACAGGATACTTACTATTTGCTGAATCCACATGTCAGCATTGCTGTAGACACGTGGTGTCCCGCATACAAGTTCCACGTTCAGGCGCTTCTTTTAGTAGTTTCCCGTAGTAGGCGCCGTGGCCGTTCACTGTGCTTCTATATGTTATGGCTGATACAATATCTCAGCCAGCATCAGTCGACCAGAATTATCTTATCGCATTGATCTTGTACTAATAGGTGACCAAGCGAATCAGTGGTTCCATTTCGGTTGGCTGCGGTACTATCATCACCTCAGGCAGAACCAGTCTTTCGTTCCGGGCCTCCAGCGGCATCATATCATCTTTCAGAGGCTGGAAACCACTTTTTCAGTATGCTCGATTATATTGTTTCTCCTCACTATTACAAGTTGATTCCGCCTACAGATTTTCATGCACAAATTCGACTACCATGCGGACGCGCATCTCCACACGTTGGTTGGCCCATATATAAGCGAGATTCTGCACATACTTTATCGATATGGTACGGCATATAATCAAGCGATGACGGGCACTACTCTTAGACGCATTCTCATCGAGCCCACCAATATCAGATCGTTCCCACATAACACTATACTTGCAGCTGCGTTGGGTTCCATATCTCACATCTTCATAATCCTCTTGCGTAGAGCCTTTCCGTGAACTTCAGCCAGTGGTATGGGTTCTACACTCGAGGCCTGCTAGTTCGCACAGACAAACTCTTGTATTGCGACGAAGATATACCTAACCGATTCCCTCGAATGGGCTCAAGCACTTGAGTACCAGAAGTGGATGGTTTTGAAAATGCATTTGTAAGTAGTTGCCGTTATCCTTGGGGCACGTTCGAGGATGGGCGAACTGGGCGTATCATAGTTGGTGCGGTCAGCGTGTGGCTTTGGAGCTGGTGTTGTCGCGAAGGGGATGCTGCATACGACTTGTGCGGGTGTTGTTGGCGCTTGGTCCTTTGCCGAGTAAGCGTTATTTCTTTCTCAGTTCTTATCTTGTTTACTCAAGACTCTTAGTCCTGATGTTCCAATTCAACTGCCAGGCGATACTCACATCATTTATGCTGCTCTCATCCGTACTTGGTTGACTGGAGTCCCTTTCTTTGCGAGCGCAAGGAGAGCTCGGGGACTTATTGCTGCTGTTGAGACTGACGGTGCAGGTCGTTACCGCAAGACATTCAAGACTGATCATGCCTTCACATTTATGACATATCTTTTTGTCGCACGCACATTGGACGCACCAGATTGTGCTTTATGAGCATCGTTACTTGCTGGTGGTGCCACCACACTCGTGGGCTTGTTTTGCGTAGGACTAGTCAAGGATGTGTATGTTTTGGTCAACACTATGACGTTCTCGTGCTAATCATTGCCCTGGTGCTGATACACTGTATCTGTGTCACTGCGTCGACAAGGATGTGGGTGAGCGACACAGGGAGGACGTATTTGTTGCTGTGGGTGTATTTTCGATCGGCTGTTGATACACACTTATGTTCACGGTCAGTTCGAATCCGAGGATACAACCTTGGACTGCAGCTCGATCACGACCTCAGACTGCGGCTCCACCACAACCGCAGGCTCAGCCGCGCTCGTCGTTATTGGTCGGCCTGAACAGGCATGTCCTACTCAGGCATAGCGTCCAGCAGCCATGTCTCCACCATGGTCCAACTTCGCAATATACTCCTCCCCCTTCGGAACCTGTCCAGCCAATATAGCCAACCACCCCAGATGCAGACATTGATCCTTTCGAACACGGGCCTATAAGATTTGATGCACCCCCAGGGCAAGTCCATGTGTATGATTTATTTCCCGAGCCTCGTCGCGCGTCTCAGTGGACGACAAGAGCCTTGATGAAGATGACGAGTACGGTGAAGAGTCGCAGTTTTCCCAGGGTCAGAGCTTGTCTGTTACGGGTCAAATGGACACTCGAACTTGTTCATAATCACACTAATCTGCGATGATGGTGACGCCTCAGGATAGTTTAATCGATATCGTCCGCAAGATGATGTACATTTCCACGTCTTGTTTTTGTATGTCGCTCACAGTGCTGGTTGACTTCTTGCACGTAGGGACAGATGCAGAAAGAAAATCCAATTACTGCAATGATGAATCACAACACTGTGAATCTCTGCTTCAAGGTGAGGGCGCATGCGATTTCATTTAGGCGAAAACTGAAGGATGCAATATAAATAGCTGGCTCTGTGCGCATCGCAGATTTGCTGCTAGCACCATCCAGTCCATTCGCTCTCTAGCCGGCCTAATTTGGGACAGGATTTCTGCAGATATGGTCGCAGATATTGCGAACGAAGCTCTGTGTCTTTGTGCTTCACGGTCCTCTGATTTTCGTCGAACAGTTCAATGCTCCGTGGGGTCAGGGGATGTTTCATTGCTGAGTTGGTATCTATTTCGTTTAAGCATTAAACGGATAGCAATAATGCGGCTGATTGCTACCTTGACCCATGCCACAGACTCGTACAGCATCACCGACGCAGAGTTGGACTCTCTTCTTGGTGTGGCCTACGTTCCGGAATCACAGAAAGTAGTCAAGAAATTCAGGAAATAAAGAAGACTATCTGATGTATGCGGAGCAAACACAGGATATGCTCGCACTGTAGGTTGGCGACTCATGTGCAACTCCCGGGGTAGACTCCCCCTTGCAAATCGCAGAGTAACTTGTCATGGATCCTACAGCACTTGCGTGATTGTTTGCCGTGCTCGCTTACAGAGGCGTGGTTCCTTCTCCTCTGCTACCGGTGCTTCTGACATGGCCAGCATGAGCTGACCACAAGATCCAGGACGGCACGACAAGCACGGACGACGTGGAAAGCCTTTATGTGGGGACACAATCGGGCTTGACGGTGTTTATATTGCCGCGGCGGATTCTATGCGCGCACTCTGTACAGCTGCACGAGCTGGTATATGTGGGACTGGTTAGTGGCTGGCGACGCCATGGCCAGCTAAGCTAGTTCCCTTACACTTCTTGTCGCATCTTAGCAGCCTGTCAGTATTTTCAGGACATCCCATTTCTTCACAGCGAGACGGTGGTTATCGTGCAAGAATCTCCTCATTGCGTACGGTACATCCATCTGTCTACATTGCACTGCTCTCAGCGTACGTGGTGTTTGACTTTAAGTACTTGATGCTTATACTGGGAATGAATCAGGATATGCAATACACCATGTTTCTTGTACTATATGCGCCAGTCTATAGATGACTTGTTAATACACTATGGCTAACCATCCGAGCAACCCGCTAAGAAAACTATGACTGGTATGTGAACTTCAATCAATGCTGTGTATAATGGCAGGCGTCTATCAGAAGCAACATCCTTATATACGCTCCCACTTACAGTAGGATGGACAAGCGTCGAGCTTGTCACCCCGTATAACCTACCACAGAGAATTGACGAGCGCACGCAATATATTCTACAGTGGCCGCTTAGCGGCTGCGGGAAGCAGCAATACTCGTTTGTTGAGTGCGCGAAACACACGGGAAGTATGTTGCTAGAAGCACAAAGCAGCTAATGTCTGGAACGTGTTCAACGTTCAGCGGGGAAGGGGGTCTGTTCGTTGAAGCAGAAGCACTGGCAGTTCCAGTCTGCAAGGTTGCTGGGGAAGTTCCGTCGGTCGCATTGGATGTGCCCACTGGGGGTGCACTGCTGCTTGAAGCACCAGCATTCGTTACATCAGTGTTGGAAGTGTGGGCTTGCTGGGGAGGGGGACGTGGTCGCTGCACTACATGCCTTTTCCCGCTGATGGCATTAGCGGTACGCTGCGGGAATGGCGTCAAAAGGGGATCATAGATTGCCACAGCTCGGGAAACTTACGTATTTGCCTCGAGTTGCAAAGACATCCACAGCGGGGATTTTTCTGGGGAGAGGAATATCACCCTGAGGAGCGGAGGAGCGAGAAAAAAGACGGTTCATCATGTTTTTCATTCGTGAACCTTCGGCATGGTGTGTGGTTGTAGTAGTGTGGTGGTTGTGTCCAGGCGGGGAATGCGGATCAAACTGCAGGCGGATGGTGAGACGTGCATTGAGACTACCGTACCGTATGGACTTACATCATTGAAGAACCTAGGCGGGATTCTAGTGCGTTGTGGGCGAGGCTTTTGGGCTGGGATGGTCTTCTGCAAGACTGAAGTTAATGATAGTACATCACGAGGAGCGGGCGAGCTTACTTGAAGAATTTTCTGTGAGGATTGTATGACAAGTCAGCATGAATCATGACATGAGGAGATTATTTGCTCGCCTGCTCTGATTCACCCTGAGGAACGGTCCATGTGCGAATGAGCTTGTCCTCACAGCCAGTGGCGATGAGCTGGCTGCCCTTGGAAAAGGCAACACAATGCACGGTATCAGGGTGCTCGAGTGGCTCGCCGATTTGTTCGAATGTGGTCAGGTCAAAGAACCGCGTCGTTTTGTCATTGGATGTGGTAACGAATTTGGTGCCATTGGGAGCAATGGCTAGTGAGATAAAGTTTTCGACGTGCGCGTCGAACTGTTTGATGATGTCTCCTGTGGTAGCATCTGAGATTCGGATGTCTTTGTTATATCCACTGACGAGACGGAGACCATCTGGAGTGAATGCGACTTGCCAAGCCCGCTGTTCTATTTTCAGTAGTTCTTGTCCATTTGCTGAATTCCAAACGATGATGTGTTCGTTCGTGCCTGCTACTATTTTGCTTCCATCGGGGGAGTATGCCACCGAGTTTGCCAGGCTGCCCACTCGGAGTGGCCCGAGGACAATTTTGCCTGTCTTTCCCTTCCACACGTATACTGTTTCGTCCGATGACGCACTTGCAAATGTCTCGTTGTCTGGTGCAAATACTACGCCCCAAATCAAACTCTCATGCCCCTTGAACGAGACTGACATTCTCTTGTTTGTCTCAACTTCCCAGACCAACATGCTTCCGTCCCACGCTCCACTCACAATCCAACACCCATCGGAGGACGCTGCAACCGTTCGGACTCCATCATCGTGACCCAACAAGGGCTCCCCCACTTGTTTCCCCGTGTCCAAATCCCACACTCGAAGACTTTTGTCGTTAGAGCAAGTGACGAGGAGACGTGTACCGGGGATGAAAGCTACGCCGTTCACCCGGTCTTCATGGCCCTTGAGTGTCATTTCGACGTGAGGTGGTTCCTTTAGAGTTGACGATGCTCCGTGAGAGGTAACAGCCATCGGATCTTTGTTCAACGACACGGTCAGCAAGAGCATCGAGGAGGGAGCAGTCACTTACATGCGCTATGGTGAGTGGTTGCTGTGTTGTATCTTCTACAGGATACTTACTATCGCTGAATCCTGATTTTGGCATTGCTGTAGACACGTGGTGTCCCGCATACAGGTTCCACGTTCAGCGCTTCTTTCTGCTGTTTTTTTTACAAGTAGGCGCTCACTGTGGTTGATACAACCTCTCGGCCACATCAGTCGACAAGAGATATTTTATCGCATTGATCTTGTACTAATAGGTGACCAACAAAATCGGTTTTGGTTGGCTGCGGTACTATCATCACCTGAGAGAGAACCAGCGTTTCGTTCCTGCAGGTATCATTTGCTCTTTCAGAGGCTGGAAACTACCTTCTCAGTACGCTCGAACTTTATGCTACTGGGTCAAGGCCAGGTTAGCGGGTATATCATGGTTGCTTCTATTTGCTCACGCGTAAACTTTAAGGTCATACTTACTATGGATATTGCCGGACTGCCGTCGATCCAATTCACACCCAGGGCCACAGGTGGATACAGCCCCTTGCCCTATCGAGTTGCCCATCAATTCAGTATGATGGTGATCTGCGACACGGGTGTCGCCTCTTGTCTATCTCTTATTCTGGTTCTACTGTTTTCGGGGACGTTACACACTCCGCCATCGCGTAGTCTTGGATATCGGTCAATATGACCATCCGTTGTATTTCATGGCCTGCTCATTCGCCTTGTTCCCAAGCCACTTAGTCTGCTGGGCTGTCAAGCACTGCAAGTATTAGGGGTTCCGTCCTGGCGTTCTCGCACTCAGACCTCTTACAGAGGTCTGACTCGTTCTCCTCTGTTACCAGGGCTTCTGACATGACCAGCATGAGCGGGTATGGCTACAGGAATTAGGACAGCACAACAGACACTGACGACGTGAAAAGCCAGTATGCGGGGACACAATCAAGCTTGGTTCTAGATAACGCGAGCTATTCCGGTGCCGCGGATTCTATGCGCGCACACTATACGGCTACGCAAGCTGGTATGTGGGACTGGTTCGTGGCTGGTGACGCCACAGCCAGCTAAGAGCGCTAGCTCCCTTGCACTTCTTGTCGCATCTTGGCAGCATATCTACCTTGACGATGACCTTCTCTGGGAAGCCATGTCACAATCGTGTATCCGCAGTCTGGAAGTAGACAACTCGGGTCGTCATCCACCTACCGTTACAGTCCATGGATTATTCACAGTGTTCTGTCAATGTCCACACGTGCATTTGCTGTGAGTGTTAATTGATAATATCGATATCGATCCTACTGATAAGCCAACACGCCCTACAAATATTGAATCCCGTAGCGGCCGCGGATGCTGAAGTTTGCTGCATTTCATAGGAGTCTCCTCGAATACCTGAGGTTGGGGTGTATGCAGAATAACTGACATTCGCTTGTGTTTGTTCGTACATGTTGGAAATGTTTTGGCGAAAATGAAAGTATGCATTGAATGATTGGAAAGGATACTGACGAACACTTAAATAGAAAGCCAAAGCACACTAAACGAAAGTGATAAAGGGTATTGCTCACACCCGTCCGTCAAGATTGCCTACTGCTGGTCGATTCCGAGTCGACAGACTTTTCTCGGCTCTGGCTTTCTGAATCTGAAGTTCCAGTAGATTCTTCCATATAGGACTGATTTCGATATGTCAATAACAACCAAAAGTTTGTCGTATGAAGTATGAAAATCGACATACCTGACACCTATTACACCTCCAATCTCCCCGGCAGCCCCAGTACCAAGGTGCGCCACAATCCACACACTCGACAAATTCCATGTGAGATCGGCAATGAACATCCCCACACCAACTACACATGAATTCGAACTCTTCATAGCAGTCTGCACAGAGTCTGTGCTGGCAGAAGGTGCACGTCGTCCGATTCGCAGGGAACGGGCCCTTGCTCGTGATTGAAGTCCCCTCGTTAGACATGTGCACATCTTCATCTTCAAGTTCCATGCAATCGTTGCACAGCGTCGTCTTCTTACACTCCGGGCATACGTCGATGTATTTGCACTCGGAGAAACAAAAATCAGTCTGACACTTTGGACAGCGTCCAGAATTGTCCAGAAATTTATCTTCAGTGGCACACGTGCCACACACCCAGGTGTCTCCACAGGGACAAACTATGTCCCTGGGTCTGACGCAATCAGGACAGATTACGCCTCCAGTTAAATGTATGCGAGACTCGCAGTCGCCCTGGCTGCACTTCTCCGACCTTGCAAGGGTCGAAAAGCACAGTTGACATGAAGACACGATTCTAACGAGGTTCGCACCTGCACACCAACCGTTATCACAAGTGACGCTAGAACAACCGTGGCATGTGACGAGGCGGTGCGAGCAGATTGGACAGCGGGGATGGTCTGGCGTGGATGGGGAAATGAGTTCTTCGAGTACCTGACCATCAACGAGTAGCTGGTAGTAGTCCTGTGAAGTAGCGCCATTTGAGTGTGAAGTGCCTGAATGCTAGACCATACACACCTGGACGCCGACCTCGAAGAGACTTTGATTCATCGTGTGCGAGCGCTAGGGCAAACGATAGTCAACCGGTAGGCCTCCTTATCATGTGTGCTCATGCTGTGTCTTCTAAGCGTGGCAGCGCCGGAATATGTATAGCATCTTGGTGGAAATAGAGCGAGAGTCGGCTTGCAATCCATCAAGCATTGATTGATATATGAAATGCTAATAAAGGTACAAGCTGTCAAAATACAAAGCAAGATGATGTACCGCAAAACCAACAAGGTCAATACATCGACGGGAGACAAGGCTTCGTCCCCGCTGTGTTTATCCATGGTTATGCATATATAAGTAGACTATACAAGTCCAATCATGCCATGTGGGTGGTGTCGTGACAGGTCTCAGTAATAGCGATTGTTGTCGCTTCCAGGAAAGCACCGAACTGCGAGAAGCAAACTGAGGTTGAGGTGAGGTTGGGAGCGAGGATTGGAAGGGAGCGCTAGTGGGTCGAGCTGCATAACGGGGGAGGCTCGAAAAGCTTGGAGATCAGAAGCCTGAGAAGCACGGTGAGCATGTTTTACTGAACACGAAACAAACCATTGAGGCCTGCAGCCTTCTCTCCGAGGCGCCTAAAGTTGTAACCAGCTCTGCTGCTGCTCAACTCAGCACCGAACTTAGCAAGACCCGGTCTGCTCCTCGTACATTGTGAAAGAGGTGAATTATTGCCAAGAGCGAGACGATCTGGAGTGGTCGAGATCGAGGTTGGCAGCAAGATGCAGGTTAGTTGTTGGTAAGACGCCGTTGGCTTCCTCGCGCCACGAGGTGATTTAACATCTGCACTTGGCGGAACCCCGGAAGATCAGGCCAAGGAGCATGTTCATACAGCTGAGGACGAAAAGGGAGACTATGTTAACGCCATCCACATGCTGCGAGAGGACTGCAGCTCCAATATTAGAGAAATCAGCGCTGTGTACGAAACAACAGAAAGAAAAAACTCAGGCCTTCACAGATACCGAGTACACCAAATCCAAAGCAAGAACCAAGCACAGGGAAAAAGTGATCAAAGAAAGCACCAATAACATGTGCGTGTGGCCCGGTGGCCCGTCAGTTGTTTTCCACTGGTAACGGCGGCCCAAACTCGCTACAACGGGCGATACTTGGTGACTGGTCTGCATCCACAATAAATACCACGACTGCAAGACAAGTGAGTTGACTCTTATCTTCCATAGTGTTAGCGTGCACATAACAGTGCACGACAGGCAGCCAACCACCATGATTCTCTGTCGATGAGGCCATGGATTTTTGCGTCACTCCGCCCGTGTTCGCTCATTGGATATTGATTATCCATCCAATTCGTGCACTACTGAGTACTGGTCAACTCCGAGCCAAAATTAGACATCGTTCAGCTGCGGTTTTCTGAAGCTAAAGTTGCAGCACGTTCATCTTCAGACCTCTGGAAGTTTTTCTTGTTTTCGATTTGTTAATAACAACCAAAATTTGTGGTGAAAATTGACATACCCTACAGGTACATTGGAAACACCGTCTCGTTGCCGGCGGGCCCCTGCAATACAGGCGCATAACTATGCCACAATCCAAACAGAAGCCTTCGCCCACATTATCAGACCGGCAATAAATACCTCCACATTCCCCACAACGGAATTTGCGCTCTTCAAAGCAGTCTGCACAGATTCTGCGCCGGCAGTATCTGCACTTCGTCCGATACGCGGGGAATGTGACCTTGCTCGTGATTGAAGACCCCTCCTTGTTAGACATATACATATCTTCATCTTCAAGCTCCATGCAATCGTTGCACAGAGTCGTCTTTTTACACTCCGGGCATACCTCGATGTATTTGCACCCGTAGAAACAAAAGTAATTCCGGCATTTTGGACAGCGCCTACAAACGTCTATTGTCTCGTCAGTGGCACACTTGCCGCAAACCCAGGTTTTTCCGCAGGGGCAAACCATGTCCGAGGGTTTGATGCAATCAGGACAAATTTTGTCAACAATAAGGTGTGCGTGAGATACACAGTTATCCTGGTTGCACTTCTTCACCAGCGCAGGGCTTGAAAAGCACGATCGACATGAAGACAGAAGTTTAACAAGGTAGCCAACTGTACACCAACTGTTGTCGCAGGTGACACTAGAACAACCGGGGCACACGACGAGAGGGTGCGAACACTTCGGACAACGATGATAGTCTGGCACGGACGGTGAAATGGGTTCTTCAAGTGCCTTTCCTTCTGACTTGAATATAGAAGTGTGATGGTCCGCGAGTAGCTGGTAGAGTTTCTGTGAATAGCATCACTTGAATGTGAAGTGGCTTGAAAATTAACGCTAAGTCGTACACACCTGGACACCGACCTCAGAGAGATGATTGTTATGACCGTGACTCATCGTTGACGATCGCTTGCCTAGTGCTTGCAGCGAGAGCCTACTGCTTATCAGGTCGTTCGAGTCTGCGTGTCCTCAGCCCTGATGCACGATGGCTCAATCAGATAGTTTAGGAAGTGAAAAAGTGACTACTCTGCTGAGGCGCGCCGCGCCACATGTAACAGCAATATTATACGCTCTTTTACATAATTGGTGCCGGCTGGCTGAAATGGGGTATCCTATGAGCTACAACCGTGCCGCTCAATCAATAGCGTTATCTTGTGAACTTAATCAATTAAAGGTGTATGCGAGACTGGCAGTCATCCTGGCTGTACTTCTTTGATACCGCAAGGGTCGAAAAGCACAGTTGACACGAGGACACGATTCTGACGAGTTTGGCTACTGCAATGTACACCGACGTGAATAATGATATCGATCCTACTAGGCTAGGATGAGTGAACACGACGCTACAAATATTGGACTTGGACACCACCGTCAAAACACCCTACTACTGGTTGAAACTGGTTGGTTCTGAATCGTGATAGAGTTCGCTCGGCTGCAGTTCTAAGGAACTCGTTCTTATCAATATGTCGATATGTCAAGATTAATGGCAACCAACATTTGTCAGTGTACGAAAATTGACATACCTTACGGCCTGGCACCTCAGTGACCTCACTCCCTTGCAACTTGAGGTCGGGCACCCGGGAGCTGGTACATAGGTGCTTCACCACAAGTCCCACACTCGCCATCGTACCCCGAGCAATACCGACAACAAACACGGCCACAACAGACTCGGAATCTGCGCTCTTCAAAGCAGTCTGCACAGATACTGACATCGCATCGTTCGCACACCGTCAGGCGGACTGGGCTCTTCAAGTATGCACCCTCGTCAGGCAGATGCCCATCATCTTCATCATCTTCAAGTTCCATGCAATCGTTGCATAGCGTCGACCTTTGGCAGTCCTCGCATACTCCGATGTACTTCATGTTGCACTTGTAGAAACAATAACAATCCTTGCACCTTGGACAGCGTACAGAACTGTCCAAAGTTTTCTTCTGAGTGGCACAAGCACCACAAACCCATACATGTCTGCCCACGCAAACTATGTGACCGTCCGTGGGTTTGACACAATCAGGACAGATTGCTCCACCACTAAAATGTACGCGAGCCTGCATCAGAGAATTGATGAGTCCGTGATATGGTTGCTGTGAGAAATATAGTGTGAAATAATTTTGCTACCGCTGAATATACCTATGTATACGGCAAGAAATATTAGTGATCAGTACATAGCCATAGATGTCTGAGAATTGATTTTACCATCAGGAGTTCGCGACAAGACAACGACATTGCGCCGTCGCAGCGAATAATGTGCAATAGCATCATTAAGTCATACTTGTTGACTCCTACCATATCCCTTCATTTATATTTTAAACTACAAAGTAATATAAGACTTTATCGTGGAAAAGACCATTAGCACTTGTAACCTAATGCAGATTCCTATGAGAATTTCCGACAACGTCATGAATTTGCGCCATCGCGGCCGGCAAGGTATGATAGTGTAATAAGGTACCACTCGTTGAGCAACCTCATGTTCTCTTATTTATGCGGGATTAACAAGGCTATATAATGGGGGTTCAAATATTGCTTGAATTACAAAGTTATCCAAGATCGTGCACGTGACCGTTAGTGTACCTGAGCTCACGGCCAAATACATTGTACATTCATTCATGTTGAGACCCCTCGTAGTCACTACAGCGAGTCTGAGCAACATTTGTTCTGTTCTGTATCGTATGGTGAATGTCCGGGAGATTCAGAATCAGCAAGATAAATATTGCAAGGAAACTGAACAGGTCTACTAGTAGCTGCGCAAAGAAAGATGAATTGTCCCCACTTTTCCGACGCCTTGTCATCCATCTCCATCAGTGTCTGCAAAATCGTGCTCGTAATCTCCCCATTTCCGCTGTCCATGAACACGAATCCCAGAGCGAGAATGCTGAGGGAATCGACACGCTGTCGTCCGCGACCGCAGGAAATACCGGACGCATTCACAAATGTGCCTGCAAAGTTAGCGTGAGCCGAGTCGACTTTGGCGGGCAGCCCTGATCCTGAACGTAATTAAGAAAGGAAGAGCTTCAAAAAGCAGAACGCACTTGTGGTCTCCAGATGACTCTTGTAGACGTCCCCAAGGCTCTTCGGATCTGCAACGCTCACCTCTTTGCTCCTGTTGAAGAACGGAAATAGAGTGGTCGCAACTCTTCGCCGCATAGAAGCCCTGTCCGATCTCGCCGAATTGTATACTCCTTCCCAGCTGCTGATCGTTCAGACGGATGTCGTAAAGAGCTCGGAGGTGGCTGCTGCATTCGCAAAAGCCAAAGAGGCGTTCGGACGTGTCGAT